CCCCCCCCCCCCCCCCAGCGAAGCGGAACCACAGCGTAGCGACGCGGAAACCCATAACCCGTCACGGGCTCAAGCGGGTCATCTCAAACCCCTACAACCGAAGACGTAGCCGGTGCATTAGGCAGTAATCCTCGATTACCCTCATTACCAGTTAAGGCGTCGTCACACCAAAACCAGGAAGTCAATGGCGGCTCTGGGATAAAAAAAAGGAACCATCATTTTGTAGCGTCAATCAATAAATACTAGGAATCGCCCAGCAGGTGTCTTTGACCCTCGGTAGTCCGTGTCCCTGCTTATAGCGTGAGCTGACGTAGCAGACCACCTCCACTTCGCCTGAGTGTGTCCGTCGGTGGCCAAAACCACATGGCAATAACCGGTCCAAGGGTGGCCTCAGGAGACTGCGGGATGACGAGAAGCACCGCGCCTCAAGCTCTGCTTTGTGAGTCTCCCTACCGCTCGTGGGGGGATCTTTGTCTCGGGAAAGACATACAACTAACTGGGGCTACCAACAGAGCCATCAGGGAAAGTGCTGAATCTACCGGCGTCCCGGTAGACCATTACCCCCCTTCAGACAATGCTGGTAGAAAGCCAAGTGGTGGAAAAGAATAAAGAGTAGAGAGCGGTAATGGCAGTTTTTATAGTCGTCGACGGCTATACGGCGATGGTCATTGTTTTTTGCAATACGCCTATGAGCTATACGAAATTTTTGTAGATACATGACGACGTGACAGGAGGGTCAACGGAATTTAGAGTTGTTATGGGCATCAAAATTATCAGCGGGCCTGGTTTACCAAGATGTCTCTTTTCTAGAGTTTTTTATCATTGTTGTATCGTATTCTGGATCTACCACAAAGCGGGCCTTGATCGATGCTCACTGCGAGGAGTACGAAAGATGGCTGGCTGTAGCCTATTCTGGGAAGTGCGACTCATGTATTCTTCGTATAGGGTGGTGGCGACGTCGTCAATGCGACGAGGGAGGAGCCGTGCTCGATTAATTGGTCTGAATAACTAGAACCTTGTGCCCACTAGCGATTTGAGGCTTAAGAGGTGACGGTCAAGTGTGCACGCATTACAGTTGGTGCCTCAAGTTCCCCTAATGTATCCATGTGTCAAAGTGTGGGGGGTTTGCATAAGATTAGGCATTAGCTTCAAAAGGCCAATGACGTCATCGTCGCACTAATATCCTGTCCCGAGATTCGGGGATAATCTCCTAGTGAGCGAGATTTCGTTGTAGCGTCGCAAATGAAGAACGAGAGCGCCTTACAATATAATCTATAATTTGAGCATTCCATTTTCCGATTACGTGGATAATTTTACAGTGTTCTATGATTTAAGTTTATGGTAAAGTTTACTGGTGGCTTTCCACCCATTGTCTGGCCAGCTTGAACAATTCGATCCAGGGCCCGTAGCCTTCCCAGGCCGCCAGCTGGTCCTTGGGGTACCACGAGTTCAGCTCGAGGCGACACACCCGTTCCGGGTGGGGCATCATAGCTAACACCCGCCCGTTGGCGTTGGTGATCCCGGCAATGCCGTCAGGCAGCCCGTTGGGGTTGAACGGGTATTGCTGGGTGACGTTGCCGTAGTTGTCGACGTAGCGCACCGCCGCCTGGTCGAAGTTGGCGTGCTTGTCCGCCAGCGCCCAGTGGGCGCGCCCTTCGCCGTGGGCAACAGCGATGGGGAGCTTCAGCCCCTTCATCAGCTGGAGGAAGATCGAGTTGTTCAGCGCCGCGGCGTCAACCTCCACCATGACGAAACGAGCCTCGTATTGTTCACTGAGGTTGCGTTCGAACGTGGGCCAGTTCTCAGTGCCGGGGATTAACTCAGCAATCCGCGAGAGGAATTGACACCCGTTACAGGCACCAAAGGCGAAGGTGTCTTCACGTTGTTGGAAGAAACGCTCGAATTCGGCGCGAGCACGGTCGTTGTATAACACCAGCTTCGCCCACCCGGCGCCGGCGCCTAAGACGTCACCGAACGAGAACCCACCGCAGGCGGCGAGCCCGACAAACGAGTCGAGCAGCACGGCGCCCAGCAACAAGTCGCTCATGTGGACGTCATAAACGTCGAACCCGGCTTGCGAGAAGCACCACGCCATCTCCTGTTGCGAGTTCACCCCCTGTTCACGCAAGATCGCCACCTTAGGGCGCAGCAGCAGCAGTTGCAATTGTTTCAAGTTGGCGACGGGGTCGTAGGTTAATTGGTACAGGATACCGGGGTCTTTGTCGTCGGCGATGTTTTCGAATTCTTGGGTGCTGGTGGTGGGGTTATCACGCAACTTCTGGATGGTGTACGAGGTCTCGGCCCACTGTTCTTGGAGCTGGGCTCTCAGCAGGGCGTAGACGTCGTTGCCGTTGTGAACGACGCGCACCACCAGGGTGTCGAACACGGGCTTACCCACCACTCTGATGGCCTCGGGAGCGACGTTGTGGGCGTGGAAGTGGGCGACAAACTTGTCGTAGTCAGCAGCAGACACTTGAAACACAGCCCCGAGCTCTTCGTTGAAAAGCGCCGCCACCACGTCTTCGTCGTTGACCTCAACTTCAGCGCCACAACGCCCGGCGAACGCCATCTCGGCGACGGTGGTGAAAAGACCACCTTCGGAACGGTCGTGGTAGGCGAGCACAAGGTCAGTTTGGTGGAGGGCAATCATCGCTTCCAACACGTTCTTGAGTGCTTGGGCATCGTCAACGTTGGGGGCATCGTTGCCAACAGCACCGTAAACTTGAGCCAAAGCCAGCCCACCCAAGCGGGCGTGGCTGGTGGGCGCCACCAACACCAACAAGGTGTCGTCGCGGCGCTGCAATTGCGGTGTCCAGTTGCGGCGGGTATCGGCCACAGGGGCAAATGCGGTGATGGTAAGCGCAAGGGGAGCGGTAACTTCGCCGCCGTCCCACTTCATCTTCATCGACATCGAGTCCTTACCCACGGGGATGGCGACGCCCAAAGCAGGGCACAAGTCCATACCCAACGCTTCCACGGCCTCGTAGAGCTTAGCGCCTTCACCAGGGTGCAGCGCCGCCAGCATCCAGTTCGCCGACAACTTGACGGCGTCGAGGCTGGTGACGTCCGCCAGCAACAAGTTGAACAACGACTCGGCGACGGCCATCTTCGCCAGCGCCGCCGCCAGGATAAGCGCCAACGTCGGCTTCTCGCCCATCGCCATCGCCTCACCGGTGTGGAGGATTTCAGGGCCGAGCGAGGTGGCAGTGACCCCGCAGTCAGCCACGGGCACTTGCCACGGGCCAACCATCTGGTCGCGGTCGACCAAACCGGTGATGAACCGGTCACCGATAGTGATGAGGAACAGCTTGGAACCGACAGCGGGCAAATGCATCACCCGATCCACCAGCTCCGCGATCTCAAGCTTGTCGGTAGAGAACGGTTGGAGCTGTAAGTTGGCAGTGGTAGCGGTACGCAGCATCTTAGGCGGCTTACCAAAGAGCACCAGCATTTCCAAGTCAATGGGAGTCAGCTTAAGCAACGAATCGGTAAGCACGAGTCTCTTCTCTTCGGTAGCGGTACCGACAACGGCGAAGGGACACCGTTCCCGCTCACACATCTTCTTGAAGGTGTCGAGGTCTTCAGGAGCGACACCAAGAACAAACCGTTCTTGCGATTCGTTACACCAGATCTCCATCGGCGACATACCCGGTTCAAGCGACAAGATGTCTCTGAGCTCGAACTGGGCGCCCAAGTCGTTATCGTGGACCAATTCAGGGAGGGCGTTGGAAAGACCACCGGCACCGACATCGTGGATCAGCTGGATGGGGTTTTCTTCGGCGCCGAGCTCAACACAGGCGGAAATCACTTCCTGGGCTCTACGTTGAAGCTCAGGGTTACCACGTTGCACCGAGGCGAAATCGAGTTCCGCCAGCCCTTCACCAGAAGAAACCAGCGAGGCGGCGCCACCACCGAGACCAATAAGCATCAGCTGACCGCCCAAAACGATAAGCTTAGCCCCGGGAGTAATGCGCTTGTTCTTGAGGGCAAGCAGCGGACGGATGGCCCCCATACCACCGGCCAACATGATGGGCTTGTGGAACCCTCTAGTCTCTTGTTTACCTTCAGCGTTGGTCACTTCGGTAGTCAATGTCCGCCAGTAACCGTTAATAGCGGGACGACCAAATTCGTTGTTGAAGGCAGCAGAACCAATGGGAGCTTCGAGCATGATGTCAAGCGACAGAGCAATGTGGTTAGGCTTACCGACGTCGCGTTCCCACGGTTGTTTAAAGCCAGGAATGTTCAAGTCACTAACGGAGAAACCAGCGAGACCGGCTTTAGTCTTGGAACCGCGACCGACGGCGGCTTCGTCTCTGATTTCACCACCGGAACCAGTGGCAGCACCAGCAAAAGGAGACACGGCAGTGGGGTGGTTATGGGTTTCCACTTTGACCAACGTTTGCACGGTTTCCCTGATCAGGTGCCATTGCTTCAGGTCGAACTTGGGAGCCCACACGAACCCTTCGGGACCGTCAAACACGGCGGCATTATCCAGGTACGCCAGCACCGTGTGTTGCGGGTTCTTGGCGTGAGTGTTGCGGATCATCTTGAAAAGAGACAACGGCTTAGCGGCACCGTCGATGGTCCAGTCAGCGTTGAAAATCTTGTGGCGACAGTGTTCGGAGTTCACCTGGGCGAACATGAACAATTCGACGTCGGTGGGGTTTCTACCAATCACCTTAGTGAAGGCATCGATAAGGTAATCGATTTCCCCTTGGTCAAGGGCGAGACCAAGCTCCTTATTGGCCTTAGCCAAGTTATCAGGACCCGAAAGCACGTCCACCGTCACCAAGGGTTTAGGCAGGTGGTGGGCGAACATCTCTTCAGGGTTAGGCGCCTTGTTGACGTAGATCAGCTGAGTCATACGGTCAAACACCGAAGTCAAAAGCTCGCCGGAAGCGAAGTCGACGGGGGCGTCAGTTTCGATCAAGAGAGCCAACCCTCTCTCAATCCGGTCCACGGTTTCAGAAAGACCACAGATGTGGGCGATATCCGTCGCCTTCAGCGACCAAGGAGAAATGGTGCCAGGACGGGGGATGATGCGGATCAAGTAGGTGTTGTTTTCGCCACCAAAGTCCTTGGCCACGTTTTGGACGAGGGGGGCGTCGCTGTCGGTGGCGGGGGTATCGTACTGCAACAACACGTCGACCAATTGCCGCTGGCGGTCCAGCAACGGCTGCTTCAGGGCGAGGTAATGGACGTACACCAGCGCCACCAGCGCCACTTTCGCCGGCGCTTTGGCTTCGATCTCCAGCACGAGCGCCGAGACACGGAAGGGAGACAAGGCCTGGGGCCCGGGCAACACGAGCAACGTTTCGCTCATCGCGCAGCTAGATCGATGGATGGGGAGTGGGGTGGAGGAAACGAGGGTGTGTTTGTCTCCTAGGCAGGATGAGCAATCGCTTATATGTGACTCGCGGGCGGCGGTTGACTCGGAATCCGGGGGCGCTCCCAGCAGCGAAAAAAACTCTATATCGCAGTAGGTGGGCTCTACCCGTGCAATAAACTCCGAATAAAACAAAAATACCCAAAGAATGGAGTGAAAATTTGTAACGGAAGAATGCTGTAATGTGTGAGAATGTGGGATCAACGGCTACAACTAGGTTTCAGATTAGTATACCTCTGAGATCACTAAAATCTGGCATCGTACCACTCTATTCCGTCGCTATCGGAGTGCATAATATTATTTCGCCCCAGTTAATTAATTGTCTGTATTCGACTCTTCCACGTGCGGCGCCAACTATACGAACAAGCTAACAGAAGCATCCAAACTTGATCTAGCTAATCTTCATTTTATTCATACAGTTGTTACAGAATTGGATATTTTGGAGTTGACTTGCGATTCAATATATTGTCAGAACCGTATTTGTATCCTGTGTAGGGTTTTTTCTGTGGGTGGCCATCCCCTCTTCTCATCGCTAGCCATCGCGCACCAGTGACCCCGACACGACCATGGCCCAAGGCAAGATCAAGCTCCAGGCGAAGAAGTCGACCCGGGTGACGAAGAAGCAGCAGAACCCCAAGAACTACGCCCCTAAAATCATCAAGGCCAAGAAGCAAAAGGCCGTCGCTGCGCAAAAGTTCGCCAAACGCCACCAGGCTCAGCTTGCTACCCTGACGGAGAAGCTCATCTCGTCGAGAGTGGGCCACCTTGAGTTGATCAAAGGTCTGAGACGGGAGCTCGAAAAGGAGCAGAAGGAAGCTGAGAAAAAGAAGAAGTGATGGACGCGTCGTTTTTCACGTTTGAAGATAAACCTACGGAGTGCTTGGTTGCCACCGCGAAGGTGGTGATCCACTCAGCTGACCATTTGGAAGAGACTTTGGCCATCCCTCGATTGACGGGGATTGACCCTTACCTCGGCACTGAACTTCCTAAACGCAAAAAAAAGTGGACCAGCTCATGATTGCAAAGGGCATGTTTATTTAGTGATGACCATAGCGTTAACTGCCATGGGATGCGCTACATAAAGTAAACACTATGTTCAATAAATTTACCATTAGTATTAGTGAATTCATCTTTGATGTACACGTTTACAGTACATAACTCAACTTTTGATGCATTTTAGTAACGATCATCAATGGAGTATCTGGACTGATTAGGTGAGCTCTGGGAAGCGTACACTCGATACAGTGGCGTATGTTTCACATTTCGTAGGTTAAGCGAAAACGTCTCCTCGCGTGATTGATTTGGAAATGTGGGTTTAATGTAGACCAGATATGTATCTTAAAACGGGCGCCACATGTCGTTTATTCTTCCTTCAATCACTGGTGACGAATGATAGCACTCATTGGATATCGAAACCATTCAGAAATTTCGAGTAGAACAAGATTAGCATCATTATATGATTTCGTTCATCGCGGTCGTGGCCATTGAAGGATGTGTTCGGATCCTAGCATGTTGGGACAGTAGAATGACGGTGGCTCGTTAACCAAGCCAAGCGACCTCATAGTGTACGCAGGAGGTCTCGCAAAGTGCGGCGATGCTACCTCCCAGACGATTTCCAAATGTTGGAGCTGGCACTCATCCTCGAAGTCGAGCCAAAGCTCTTCAGCGTCGACGTTGCGTATCTCCAAAGTGTTCACTGACGCTGGGATAAAGAGAGGGCTGATTTGGTGCAGTCAATGAAAACGCCCACAATCGTAAGCCTTTGCAACGTTGAGCATCCCGCAAATGCTCGACAACCTAATACATGCCCCGGCCTACGAGAACTTTGTTTTTTCCAAGGACTCGAAACCATCAATCTTTCAATACCATGGTTTAGCTCTGAATCGAGAAGAGGGGTACCGGAGGTATACAATTCACGACACTTGACGCTGGTATTGTTGCGACGGCCGAGCGCCGTGTTTTCAAACTCAACATCATCAGCAACTATATTGGTGGAATTGTGTATCACACTCCGCTTCACCAAAACTCTAATCGCCTCCACCTCAACATCATTAATCTCACAATTATGTATGTCCAACAGTTCCAATATACGGCCAAATCTTAAGCTATCAATGGCGCATTTTTTCAACGTCACAGATGAAACTCCTGGTAGCTCCAATATGTGTGCATTATCGGCGTAGTTTGCAAGAGAAACGTGAGCACCCTTCACTTTGGGTGTATCCAACTCTAGCTTATCAGCTACATGAACTGACAAGGATACAAGTTGAGGACAGTGAATTGAAGCGTTCCGCACATTTATCAAATCGGCCTCGCGCAAACCAGAAGAACTGATGGACACATCAATCATGTTGGACCACAATATAAATTCCTTGATTTGCTCAGGAATACCAGTAACGGGTTCGCTGGTGCATAATGTGAGTTTCTCTAATGTTTGGGGCAATTTGAGCTGGTCTGTCATCGGCTCATACAAAGACATCTCAACAATTCTGAGCAGCTGAAAATGATCAAGATTGGATACGGAATAATCCACGGCGAGCAATTCGGTGATGCCTCTTTTTTGTGATGCCTCCAACAAATTCAGGACGTCGTTATCCTCGAAGACCTCTAACAATTCTAGCAGGTGATCCCTATCAAGTTCCAACTTCTTGAGATTTGGACAATAAACTCCCTCAAATTGCAACCATGAGTTTAACTTTTTGATTTTCAAGTCCCTCACATTATCCAACCGACTATAGTTTGGCATGGAGTTATAGATGGTCAATTCTTCCACTTGGTTCCATGGTAAATTATCGTAGTGGGAATCGACTTCGACATTTCGGAGATTAGGCAATTGCCACGATACGTTGTCACTGCTGGCATTGATTAACGTAACGTCGGTAAGTGTCTGTGGCAAGTAGAATCCATTAATCTGGCAGTTTTCAATGCGTAATCGCTGAAGACTGGCATCCGTCGCCAAGCTCCTCATATTATATATTAGACAATCTTTGGCAGTCAACAGACCGATTCCCTCTGAGATATAGGAGGCATCAAACGTCACATTAATAACCTCGAGATTGTTGATAGGGTGCTTTAAGTTTTGCATTTCTTTTTCAAACCATTTGCCGTTATCACGATATATGCCGTCACCGCTTATTGTCACATCAAGCAGTTTCACCTCCACCTGATTGAGCTGATGAGCTGTTAGACGCCACATTTTCACCGTTGTGGTTACCTTAACATCGCATGGCGGGAGTTGGGCGAGTACGTCAAATGTAACTTTATAAGGACACCGTTCTGTGGCATCAAGGGATACTGCCACCACACGCGTCTGGAGACAATTGGCTGCCGGCCCAACACATGGGTGTGGAGCGAATGCCACGTAAGCTCGACAGATCAGAGGCACATCGAGGAGCGAGTAGATTTGTCTCTGGATCTCACGAGGGAGGTCTTCAAACCGCGCCATGCACCCATGGTTGGATAAAGACATGTAACGGTGCCAATGCTAATCTGCTCAAATGGGATGGTGGCAGGGTTTGTCAACGACAGGTCGTGGCCCCTTTAGCGCTCCAAAGGGAGGAAGTTCCACGGAATAGTCGTTTTCACTTCATTGTTTGATTCAATGAGAATGTCGTCGTGTGCAGGTAGTAAATAGCACCAAATTTGATTTAAGTCGTCTGTTTGATATCAAATCCTTTAGTGGTAACTTACCACGGGTGGTTTGATGTAAAGTAACATACATTGAATAAGTTCAAGATTTGGTATCGGTTCTTTCTTGAAACTTGCAATTTTTGCAAATTGAAGACAACATCATATGTTTGGGAGAAGTTCCTTGATTCAAACTTGTAAGTTGACATTATGTTGACAAAGTAGCTGGTTTCGGGTGTGTTTTCAAATTGTAGAATCAGAATGTAATCAATTTCTTGAGCTGAAGTCGTGTGTGTACACGGCGATGCACTTAATAATGAATGCCATCTCGTCGCTCAACCTTAGTTTCCACCTACAATTTCTTGTCCACCACTAATTGATTCGTAATCTAACAAGAGCCTTCATGGTAATATTCGTCATGTTTGTTTTTGTTTGCTCGTTTAATTGTCGTTGTTTACCTCTTAGCCTCATCACCACCTTGATGCGCACAATTGACAGCTCCATCCAGTTGGACTGCCACTAAGACTAATGTCTAAGCTGACCTCTGGCAAACCACACGAACAGCGGAAGCTGTCGAAATATGGCGGCTCATCGACGACGGACAGTGGGCCTATGATGATGCTTAGAAGTCTATACGATGGCTCTGAAAAGTCCTCAATTGAAGCCATCCGCTACTTAAAGGAGTTGAAGTTCAATGCCTTACGAGCTGACGTTGATGGGGAAACTAAGTTATTTAACTGGAGTCTTCAAAGGAAGCTTGAGTCGCTTGACACTTTGACCGATCGACGGGTTCTTGATCTCCACGATGCATCAGAATTGAAAGCTCAGCAATATCTCACAAAAGTGATTGATGCCATTTCATTCAGCGTCTACATGAAATTTTATGAGGAAATGAAGATTTTATGTATCACGTTTCCTCACAACGATGAGCCTCATCCTCATTGGTGCAGAGAGGCTTGGACGCTACTTGCACGGATATACCAATTTATGGACGACTACGATCGTTTAGGGAACGTGCTTGAGCTTCTTGCTATGCTCATTCCTAAGGAGAACGAGCTTTCGACGGAGTATGAGGATAGCATCCGACCATTTCGAAAGCAAGTATATGATTTGAAAGCAGAGGACGTGCTTGATGGTTCCAAAGAAGCGGAAGTGCGTGATATCATTGTTTCCGTTTTGAATATTTTACCCAATTGGTTTTCATTATTTTGAAAAAGAGAGCAGGGATGACATTTATGTGTCCCTGCACCATCAGCAAATCAGGGATTATCTATTGTCGCTCCTTGGCAATTTAAAGCTATCAATCGGAAAAATGCCACTACAACCAACAGCATCCATGACGTCAAGCGCGAATCAGGTAGTTTCGTTTCACCAAGTTACTTTCGCTGACATTTGTGACGCTCGCAAACAAAAATCGACGACGGCAAAGAAGTATCACCGATTCTGGATGGCTTGTTGAAGTATGACGAGTTTAACGCGGTACCATCCAAAATTGCATGATAAACTTTGTTCAGTGAATCAACATTGCTTACCACCACCAACTCACACTCATATTCGAACCGGCTATTATGGTAGCATACTTCAATGTGAGTCAAGAAGTGTCTACTCGATGCTCACATAAATCACCATCATAGGATATGGCATATGCAATGAATATAAGCTGAGAACTTCATATTTTCAAATTTGCATCAATACTAAGCCATAAATTTCGTTTATATCTTTTGCTGTAACAATGTAGAGACCACTTTGACTAAATTCGGATAAATATTCAACTTGATGAAATGAAGTGCAATCACACGACCACTCTGATATTGATATCTGACCGCAGGAGCGTCAAAACTGCAGATTACTTGTAAAACTGAATATACCGTAAATTAAATTTTTCACGAACGGTCCCTTGGCCCAGTTGGTTAAGGCGTGGTGCTAATAACGCCAAGATCAGCGGTTCGATCCCGCTAGGGACCATTCTTTTTGCAACTTCAGCCGATTAAACTCTGTCAGGTACCTTAGTATCCCATCAAACTCCATGAGACTTCTGCAGCCAGTGGCCAAGCGTATTACAAGTACGACGGTAGTATCAATCTTTCTTGCGATTTGCAACTTGTAGCGCCACGATTGTCTGGTCGTCCTGCAGGTAGTGCCAGAAGAGTGCCCCTACTCCAACTACGTCAAATTTATCATTGATTCACCCAGAAACACACCAGCAATACTTCAGATACCAACAATGATTACAAGGCAAAAGGATCATTCTATCAATCTTCCCCAATCTTTAGCCTTGACAAACCTGCAACTAACTCAAATCAAACTTCAACTCGCCCAGATATTTACCTACAATACTTCTGGTGCCAAAGAAGTTTAAGGAGCAAACGGGAAGTCTGTACCAAATTTTCCTGATTTTATATCGCACTTTAAAGTTTTTCGTATGAAAATTTAGAAAAATCCCATTTGCCGTTGTAAATTCTATCTTCACCGTATACTTTACGGTGGTGTATTTCAATTCTTTCTAGAATGTCATATACGTCATGAAAAACCAGATTGAAAATTTGTCGTCCATATGCACATGCAGTGCTTGTGTGCAGAACCTCAAACCTTGGAAGCGTGATTTTTGTCCCAGCATTGATGCCAACACCACCTTGAACCCATCACACCAAATATACGTGCTTAAAAACCATAACGACGCTGAGAAATACGAGCTATTAGCTCTGTAAGTGCATATTATAGCTCACCCTGTCATGTCCTGCATCTTCTCACATGCACCTGCATATAGGTATTGATCTAGATTAGGTGTTATACCTTTCTCATTACTGCTACGAACATCACAAATGAATTTTAATGCTCACAAAATGTGATAGGCCATGTTTGAAACCCAGAAGAGTGCAAAGAAAAATTTTGCAAAAAAAAAAAGTTTTTTTTTAGTACAAAACCTCACTTAGATCCACCAGTTTTGACGTCAACTCACCCAAAGTCACCTCAAATATACTTCCAGTACCATAGAATTTTATGGAGCTATTGGTTTGATTCTGGCGATTTCTCGTGATTTTATAACACACTTTAAAGTTTTTCGGAGAAAAATTCAGAAAAATTCAGAAAAATCCCATTTGCCGTCATAAATACCATGTCAGTCGTGTACATCACGGTGGTGTTGTCTATTCTTCTCTTGAGTGTAATATAAGCTGTGAACACATTCGGTCGGAAGTTCACAAATGTCATGCAGTCGGAACTACTGTGTGCAGGCATTTCTCTTGTCTTTTCCATCTCTCGCAGTGCACCTGAGTACAAAAATCCCACTTAGACGAGTTCTTTGTTGTTGAACTTGATCCACAAAAGCCACACACTCTTGAGGTGTATACACAAGTGGAATATTCATATGTAGAACAGACTTTGATCAAGTTGTTCTATTAGTAGACTAACTAGTCCTGTTTATGATAATTAGTGTTTTATATGTTATTTAGCATGTGTTGGCTTGTAACGTGTTTGTCCTGCGTACATGAATATCACTTATGTATGGATATTTTCGATGTCCTATTTGGTCGAATAGGCATCCTGTTTGGTCGAATTAACAAAACGTATACTGGATTAGGATTCATTATTCAACATTCCAAGCTCCACAGAACAATTATACTGTTTGCTAGATGGAAAAGTTTACATCATGAATTCAAAGTATTGAAAAAAATTTTGAAATTTTCATTCGAAATAATTTTTGACGAGTGCAGAGAATGTGTATGCAGGATTTGACGACGGGCGCGGAAAATAATATACAGGATATATTTGACAAAGCTATGACAGGCCAAGCATTAAATTTAACCCACTGATTTGACGGCTATTGTTTCTATACCAATGGAAAGATTTGATTTCAGGCCTTTTTCTGGAGTCAAATGGATACCGTGGTTAGATTTCACTTACAAAACAGTTTAGCAAATATCTTTGATTTTGCCTATAATTCTTGCTTCACACTCAGCTGCTGACATCTTACAAGATGGGCATTATCCGTTATAAAGAGACAATAGCCTTGAAATTTCTAGGGCTTGCATTAGACGGGGTCGCATTGTTAGCTTCCCCTCATTGATGATGGCAAATCTAAAAGAAGTATCTCTCGCCGATAGGATATTTGTATCTAGCTCGTTCCTGCTTATTTTCGGTATCATCTTTCCAAAACTTCCCTATTTATGAGCTGAGTCATACCACTTACACCCCGACACCCTTGTCGATGAGGTCACCATAAGCCGACAATACGAGCGACAAACCAGCAGGCATGGATTGACGACGCTTATTCATTTTTTCCAGGGAAACACCCTTCGACCTGGGGCCTGCAACTGCTGGATACCATGTATACCCCCATATAATCGCCAGGCCATGATTTTGCTGATATACCATGTTTGTTCCAAAGTGAAGGAATTGTCACATTGTAGCCTGCAAGTGTGATAGATCTGCCAACAGTTGCGCTACCGACTAGGAGACTTCTCAAGCCAAATCGACGTACATAGAGACTACAGTGTTGAGCTGAATGAGCTAGTAACTATGGATCCCCGAAGAAGTAATTCAGCGCACCAGCTGATACTTGTGACTTTTGTTCTTTCATTCCATAAACGTCGTTGCATTCAAATCAATAAATATATATATGTAGGGGTTTACTCGAACGAGCGGACATCCAATTGCCGTCCCACTCTTGCCTTAATATCCTGAGGCAACGACCGGGGAGTCTTCAACTCGGGCAGGGCGCTGCGGCGCTTGCCAACGAAGTTGTCATCGCTGTCCAACACAAGGCGGTCACGAATGCGTTCGGAAAGCGAGTGCTTCTCCTTGAGATCGTTCATCCGATGGAGATCGGTGTTCGAGTTACGACGAGAGTGCAATCTCAGGTGGGCCCGCGAGTGAGCCCGCGAGTGGAACTGGGAGGTGGTCCGCAGATTCAAATACAGTTCGTTTCGCAGCAACTCTTCCGATCTCAACTCGACTTCACCGATGTCAAAGTAGCCGTAGCCCCCCAAAATGTCGTACTCCTCAGAGCCAATCAGCTGTTGCGAGTCCAGGCGACCACGGTTACGAGCGGTGGTGTTGTCTTCCCCGTCAGGGTAGTACTGGTGGATCAGCAACTCCAGGTCGATGGTGACCATGGGAGTGGAGGCAGCGGGTGTCGTCTCAGTTGCCGCCGAAGAAGTAGCAGAACGAGGCTTCAGCTTTTGGGCCAAGTTTTCCGCGTAGTCGAAGCGGCGTTCCACCAGCGACTCGTACTCTTCAAAGTCACGGTCAGTGGTCAACTCGATGGGGCGACGCAACGCCACCAGATCGTTACGGACGTTCTTCAACTCCTTCTGGATACGCAAGCGTTGCAATTCGAGCTTACGCGCCAGCGAGTCGTTGATCTTCATGACGAAGTCCAGTCTCAGCACCAACATCCGTCTGAAGTCGCCAAGCACTTGAGTGACGGTGGAGAGAAGTCTCCGGGCTTGACGGTACTTGGAGCACATGGTCACCAACACCCGGTCCTTTTGGATGATGTAGCCAATCCCGTACCCTTGGTCAATGGCGGGAGGGATGCCGAAAAGGTGGAGGGCAGGGTTACCACAGTTGGAGATGAGTAACTCCGGCGACGAGATCTTCAGCATAAGCGGGTTTGTCAAAAGAGGGATATCCTCTTTGCTTCGCGAAAGATCAGGAATCGGATCCAAGTTCGGGTTGATCGAGTTCAAGTTAGCCCGGGCACTAGACCGCTTGCACACTTGGGTGAGCGCCATAAGATGACGCTCAAACCCGCGGCCTTGCATGGCGTCAAGGTACTGACGATGGTGGGTCTCACAGCACTTCTTGAACCAGTTCCATTTGTCCTCCTGCGAGGCCAGCGTGATGAAGAGCTTGACTAAGTTGGTGATGTGATCGTTTTGGATGGGGATAAGCTCAGTGCGCGAGTCTCTGAACTTACGCGTGGTGATGGGTTCCAACGTGTTCACCATACGCCCGTACAACGAGTAGTTAGCCACTTGGAACGCAATCTGAAGCACCAGGTCCACCAGCAACCCCACCTTCGATATCAAGTGCAGGTCCAACTTGAGCACTGAAGTGACGTACTCGTGCTGGGTGACCAAGTCGGCCAACCGGGTTTCTGAGAGCCGCACAAGCGTCAGAAGCTCAGGGGTAAAGTTGAACGTGATGTACTCCGGCTCAGGTTTGATAATCTTGCCGTCAGCCAGCACAAACTGGGTGTTAGGGTCAAACAACGTGTACTGGTGGCCATTGATATTCTTGGCGAGCTTGAGCACCGAGTCGGTGTAGATGTCCAGGATGAAACGTAAGATCGCCGTCAGGTCCATCAGCGCCAGCTCCCATACGATACCGGCGGTGGCGTTACCAGCAACGATAAGCTGGAGCTTATCGTACCAGCGCGAAGTACAGGTACCGCGTTGGATGTTAGTTCCGGGAACCAATTCCGAGGTGCCGTGGGAAATGCACACCGTCTTCTCTTCGTCGGTGACGGGCTTCAGTTCAGGGTCAAGCACAAGCACGAAAAGGGCATCGTCAATGGCGCGGATCTGTTCGGCATTCAGCTTCAAAAGCTCCGCACGGCCGTCCTTCCACATACCGAAGCTCTGAGTGGTCAAGCACCCCACCGAGTTGCGGTTGGAGGTGATCTGGTCCACCTGCTCCGCCTCCAACACCACCTGTTGCAAGATCGTCAGCAACTCGTGGTCGTTGAACCAGATCTTATGCTTGGACTTGGTTTCAGCGTACTCCTCGGGGGTGTACAACGTGAGCAATTCCAACTTGTAGTACTGGTTGTTGCAAATAATGATGATGTGGCGCGAGTCATTGATGTCGTTGTACTTGTACATGGTGACGTGGTTGAACAGCGAGTCCGGAGCCGGGATCCGGGTGCAGCCAAACAAGTTGCGGAACCCTCTCATCGTCAACGGCTTACCATTTTTCGGAGTAACGTCGGGCTTCAACGTCTCGTTACGAACGGCGATGACAAACTTAAGCGTCGAGTTAACCAAGCTGGCAGCGCGTTCACACATTGTGGGAGGATGTAACGCTTTGCTGTAAGGGTCTTCAGCGAGTACGAGGTAGGGATTTCTCGGTAACGTGTCGCCTCTCAACTCCCCGTAGATCCCCGGGGCGGTGTCGCCAGTGACGGCATTGAGGTAGCACAGCACCTCGGGGTTGGCCAGCGCCAGCTCCAAGTGTTTCTGGATCAAGTTGATCGTCGGGTCACTCAAGAAATGGGCCAGTTCCTCGTACACTTCGAGGTACTCCTCCAGCGAGAGGAGCGGCTTGAGCGCCGTGAGCAACTGGTTGACTGTCTGGGTCAACGGCGGCACGGGCAATCTCGGCAACTGGTCCTCTAGCTCATACATCGAGGCCATCTTTGAAAAGCTTTAGATGGATTCGAGTGTGGTGTGTGGGGTAAGATAGTGGGGGCAGTAAGTGGTGGGTTTATATGATTTCATTTCGGAGTGAGAGGCCTAGGCGGGCGCGGTGAGGGGGCTTGTCTGCAGGGCGAACTCCGGAGTATGGCGCCAGTGGTGTTCCGATTGTGTGGGGTAGCCGAGCGGTACGAGGGGTACGACTATCGCCTAAGCCCGGGATCTGGAAGGGAATGTGCTACCAGGGGAAAGTAACAGAGGGTAGTGTTTAGGGCTAAAATCTGTAGATGAGGTTAGGGGGGACGTACCCTGCCGGTGGCTGGAGTTAAGCACAGTCATTATCCAAGGGCTGAGAAAGCGGCGCCGAGCCTGGAGGGAGCGCGCACTGTGATTGGCCGGGTAGATAAAGCGTACATAGTGGGGAGATCCGAATGTTGGGTGGGGGCGATAAGAGGGGTGGGTGTAGCCGAGCCAAGACAACAATTCTATTGAGGTTAGAATAATGAGATGAAAGAGTTGAAGGAATCGACCCAACATAGAGCAGAGATGTAAATAAAAAGCATACAGAGTTCGAGAACGAAAAAATAATGACACCGACGTGATTCGAACACGCGCATCTTACGATAACAGAAACCCCAACCTCACAGTCGAGAAGCTATGATAAGCTTGAGTCTGCCGCCTTAGACCACTCGGCCACAGTGCCTTTTTTTTTGAATAAAAATTGCGGTTTAACATAATTGGCCAAACATAAGGAAAGAGAGCCCTCTTTCGGGCCATATACGGCTCATTAAGTCCTCTGAGTACATCAAAATCGCATTTCTTTGAAGATTTCATTCGCAATGAGTGGCGAAAACTTTATTTTTACTCAAGGATTCCCTGGTATCCTCAAGTTTAAGGATCGTCGAATGGAGATATCTCGACGTCCCACGAAAGCAATATCGGCGGATGGATGAATGCAAGCCACAGTGAACAACAACTCTGTCCCAGGTATGCGTGGACCATCCAATTGAAGTGGTCAATTCTGTCACAAGTACCTTACGATCTCTGTCCACCGTTCCAGAATCATTAGTTACTCGCACCACCGATACAGTAATTCGTCATTATAACTGTGAAACATAATATCGGCTTACCTCATTTCATGGTCCTCAAAAAAGCTCAACGAGTCACCTCGACTTTGAACGACACCTCCATGGTTTTGTAGGTATCACCTTCAACACCTCACAATGAACGTGTAGAAGAGTTTCTGTTGCTTTAGAGGCGATTTCGATTGTGTCCCTACGCTGACGAAGGCCTAAACAATCATCCAACTGGTTAAACGAACAAAATTGATTGATTTCGAGGGTTTTGGAATAAAGTTAGTGCTTAGTGACCCCTTCTTGAATGCTGGTCACATGCTGCTGCCCACACCAACATTGAGGTCAAAAACGCTTGCTGAGATCGTTCATACACAACGCTAGCGGCGTCGAACAGAATCAATAGGATTTTCAAGTTATTTGCGATATGCCACAATAGCAATTTTCATCGCAATATCAGTTGACCCAAGTGAAAAGTTAGCGCTTGGACAAGGAGGATATGTGTTGGAAATAGGAACATCACTTTTCATCAATCGATTCTTCCGCCTCAGGTCCTCAATTCTTCAAGACTTGGTCATTGTATCAAAACGCAGAACACTTCATGTAAGTTGCGCCAATATTCGAAGTAACCACAACTGAACTCTTCAATATCCAAACTTTACCAAGATTGATCGGAGATTCAAAATTGTATCTGGTAATCTCGAAATTGTCTCACCCGATTCTCCCATTAGCTGGACTTCTCCGATAGCGGGCCGCACCGGAGTTGTTCACCATTTGTGTCACGTGGGAGAGGCTCAGCTCCACACCCGCACCACAGCAACCATAACAATTCACAAAGCAAAACCTCTTGATGAACCGTACATGTGTTTTTGCAATTGTGACAATTCAAAACTCGTGGTCAGAAGTTTCGAAGTTTTCTTTCGTTAAATGGGCTTAGGAAGATACCGGTAATAGGAGAAAGATAGCGTCGGAACTCCCGGTATTTACCATCCACAAAATTGATAAAGCGTGGGGATGAGCGAATTAATAGTGAACGGTGACTATCCGGCAATTCCATCGATTCCATGTGAGCCATTTTGGCGTTGGTCGCGGTAGCTAAGCCCCCGGTGGGCCGGTGCGAATGTCTCTCCACCCAGGGGGGCGTCCATGCACCAAAACCTAATTGTTACTGAGAAAAAAAAAAACATCGTGAAGTGAGTGCGGCGCAAGTCCGCCAAGAATACGGTGAGCATATGGGGTGTACGACATGCCGTATTTGACGTATTCAATCAACAAACGTCATTTGGCAATAAACGTCTAACGGAAAGAAAGATGCGTAATTATAATCCGGTGAGGTATCACCCGGTGGGATACGACACACCGCACAAGCTGCCGCTATGCCTTGCGCATTTAGCTTCGTCGAGGGACCCATTCTTTTTTCTCTTCTACAAGGATGACAAATCCCCCCCTATTGAGCAGGAAGCAGTCACCCTCACCACCGTGCATCTCACTGGGTCCGGAGGTAGACGGAATTTACGGGTACAAGTGTATACGATAGGGTTCAACTAGAGTACGAGTAGCCGGGTACTCTCCGGAGCTGCGTTGGGAACTCCGGGCCTTCCCACGGTGTGGAGCCCGCGGCCCCCCGGCGACCCAAAGACTAATTTGATGCTCCACGACATGTCGCCACAGCACAATTGTGCTGTTTGTGTCGCTAAACGGTGAGTGCCGAAGCGGTCTGCCCTCGCTGCCTACGGACCGAGCGGAAGTAGGGGTGGTTCCGATCCGTGAGTCTCGCCCCGGCGAAAAAACCGTTGGCGCCGACCCCTACCTCCTAGCCACCACCACCACCGATGTCTATCATCGTTCCCAAAGCAATTCACTTTTGGGAAATACGCCGCAATTTTATGTCATTTGTTGCTGACCTCGTACGGCCCAGCAAAGCACGCCAAGTTTTCATATGACCCTTGTCTCCCCAAACAAGAAAAACGCTTGTTGAGGAGAGCAGTAAATAATTATCGTAACCGGCTTGTTTTTTGGTTGGAGCACGACCCGCACCGCGGAAAAAAAAAATTTAAAAGACCACTAAGCGCTAGTGATGTTAATTCCGCTTTCAGCCCTTCTTGCCTCAGTACCACAAAGCAACGACAAATCCGAGCACGACGCTCAACCGGATATAAGTACAGCACCCAACTGAGCAAATTAAACAGTCATTTATTGTAATATTGCCCTAGTTTCAGTACCTACTTGCCCTGACCCAAAATCATGCCCTGGGGTTAAGCCGTGCCAACGTAAGCCGCACCGGGAACAATGCAATCGGGGTGAGCAACCTTCCACCTCAGCCTTAATCAGCTGCAGAAAAATTCCCTCAAAAACCATTCCCACTGCCGACCCCCCGCTACGACAATAAAAAACCTTAAAAGGGGTGACTATGGTCGCCGGGCGATTGTGCCCCCTGAGCGTATCGCCTGGTTACCCGTCTAAGCCCCTACTGCCGCTTACTATTGCCTGCTGCCGGGCGCTTCGGGCTCGGCGCCATGCGAGCCGCACCTGTGCCAGCGGCAAGGCAGGCAGCGCACTCTCCCTAGAGTGGGAGGGTGGCCGCTGCCGGGAGCCCCGGAACGGAAATGCGCTGACACTGGCACCACCGCCTCCCTCACCCCAGCCCAGGGGGGGAACCCTCTAACATCAATGATAGTAAAAGATACTAGCTAACAGCTTAATTATACGTAGTTTACCACCCTTCGGGGCCGGCGGTGGGGACCTCGGTCCGGCGGCGCCCGCGCCTCACCGGGGACGCACCTGCTTAGCACCGATGACTGTTTACTTTTTCCTGCAAACGAGGCCTAGGTGAGGGTTATATAAAGGTGCACATGCGCCCAGGGTACAACCCTTTCTCTGTCCTGTGGTTTAACCAGCTTTCCTCCTTTTCTAGTTAACTGTCCAGCCGTCGCTCCGGCTCTCTGTGTGTATCCATCCTGACGTCAGACAACACCACCATGGCCCTGGCGACCCCTCACGAGGGCGCTGCTACCCGCAAGTACTCCCACGACGACCTGGCGCTGCTTAGCGACTCGATTGCGCCCTACGACCCCGAACGGGGCAGAGTGCCCACCAACCCCAACTTGGGCCAGGAGCTCTCGAGAACGATGTCCCAGCGCGTCCAGAACGTCGAGCTGATCTACGCCGAGCTGCAGAAGCTGACCACCCCGTTGCCCACCATGGGCGGGGGCAGACCCTACCCGCCATTGTTGCCCGACAGAGGCCCTTACGAAGTGCAATTCGACGGGCCCGACGACCCCATTCACCCGTTCAACTGGGCGTTCCGCCGCAAGATCATCATCTGTGGCGCGCTCGCGTTGTCGGCGTTTTCGGTGTCGATGGGGTCGGCGATGTTTTCGGCGTCGCTGAACCAGCTCATGGAGCACTACCACATCGGGTGGACCCCCGCCACGTTGGGGACGACGCTTTTCGTGTTTGGTTTCGCCTCGGGGCCCGTCATCTGGGGTCCGCTTTCGGAATTGTTTGGTCGCCGTATCGTGCTTATTATCTCGTGTTTCGGGTACGTGTGTTTCAACTTTGCCACCGCCGTGTCTAAGGATATCCAGTCGATCATGATCTGTCGGTTTTTCGCCGGTTTCATCGGGGCGGCGCCGCTCGTGGTTGCCCCCGCTGCTTTCACCGATATGTACACCTCCAAGTACCGTGGTCTCGCCATCACCGTGTTCGTGGTGACGATTTTCGCCGGTCCGATGATGGCGCCCATTTTGGGGGCGTTCACCGTCAAGAACCACGCCCTCGGGTGGCGCTGGACCTGTTACTTCACCGGTATCGTGGGTGCGTTCTCGCTCATCCTCGTGGTGGTGCTTTTCCCCGAAACTTATGCCCCCATCATCCTTAAGGAAAAGGCCGAGACTCTCCGTCGTCGCACTAAGAACTGGGGGATCTACGCTCCTCACGATGAGTTCACCCTTACCTTGAAGGAGATTTGTGAAAAGAACATTACTCGTCCGTTGGTGATGTTGTTCACCGAACCGATCTTGTTCATGGTCACCCTTTACAACGCCTTCGTCTACGGGATCTTGTACATGTTCCTTACCGCCATCCCCCTTATCTTCCAAGGTTTATACCACTGGCGTTCCGGGGTGGCGCAATTGCCCTATATTGCCATGTTGCTCGGTGCCTTCATCGGGGGTGCCATCGGCTGTGCCTTTGAGTACCACTACGGTCTCGAAGAAGAGCGCGAAGGCTACCTCAAGCCGGAAAAGAAGTTGATTCCTTTGATCATCGGGGGGTTTGTCTTCACGGCTGGTATCTTCTGGTTGGGCTGGGGTGGTGCCTTTGGTAACAAGGTGCACTGGATTGTCCCCACCATCGGTGCCGTCCCCGTGGGTATGGGGCTTATTCTCATTTTCTTGCCCTGTTTCAACTACATCATCGACTGTTACCTTATCTACGCCGCCTCGGCCATCGCCGGGAATACCTTCTTGCGGTCGGCGTTCGGTGCTGCGTTCCCGTTGTTCACCAAGCAAATGTTCACCAACATGAAGGTGAAGTGGGCGCTGACGTTGATCGGGGGTCTCGCCGCCATCATGATCCCCGTCCCCGTATTCTTCTACATTTACGGGGACCGGTTCAGATTGCGCTCGAAGTACTCGGTCGACATGCGTGAGCTCAAGAAGGAAATGAGCGGCAGCGCCGACCAAGATGAAGCCGACCTTGCGGAAGCCGAAGTCCGCAACTACCCCATCAAGGAGGAACTCCAGGAAGCGGAAGCCGAGAACCGCCCGCTCACATAGACGGCCCCACATAGAACATCTTAATATCTTTTGCAGTTTTTGCCTTTAATATCAGTAACAAAATACCATTAGAATGACCAACGAAAGTAGTGTTTGCTTGCTAGCCTGACCCCACTTCTACCTGAGATAATCGTAAAATGGGCCATTATATGGTTCGGTAAACTTGGTGAGAGAAGAGACCTGCTCTCAATTGCATGTTACTAGCTAATAGTCTTTCACCTAGTTGAGCCATATTTTTATATGGCCTAAGTCATTACGAATCGCTACGCAATTCTATCGAGCATTCGATCGATTGGACATTCCGTGATTGCTATTACCGAAGCTCGGAATAATCCGTCAAGTTCTACCACTCAATGTTCGAAACCGATGCTGTTGTATAGTCTACAAAAGCAATTACGGAGTAGTGGACGTCGTAGATTTTATGGCCTCTGACACCAGCAATATTGGAGGGTAGGCTTGCTGATTTTCTGTTTTCTTTTGAGCGATTACTAAGCTTATTCCAGAACTTTGAACCTAAGAGAGTATTGTGAGGTTATGTACGAATATGGGTAATTGATGATCCGCATGGATGCACTTGTGGTTGGAACCTAGAACCACTCCGCTTCGTATCCACCTTCCCTTAGATTATCAGCGCAATGCCTCTGGAAGGTTGCATGTGCCACCAGGTCATCGGAATAATTATTCTATATGGTGAGGCAATTGAAACGAGGGGAATACGGCGATTATCAAAGCGATCATCGTCACCGTTCATGCTGATTTAAAAGAAAGGAATACTGGCGTGATTTCATTGCGATTATTTATCGATCGTGACTGAGGTCGATCACAGACTGTGTTTTGGTGATCGCTGTGTCTCACTATGAGGGTTTAATCAACTTCACCAATAAAAAATAAGTCAGTCATGATGGGTGGCAAAATAAACTACATTTTCGATTTCATTCAATGTCACCATGTAGTCGTCAGGTCTTGAGTAATTTGCATTTGCCTCGGTTGACATTTCCTGAGGGCTATGGCCTAGGCCCTGTGGGGAGCAGTACCTCTAAATCGCCACACCCAGCATTATCTCGTGCCAGTCACCTGATGTTTACACCGGAGAACGATCCCCATACGGCTGGGGCCGTGTCGTAAACGGCGACGCCATCAGCGATCGACTGGCCTCGCCGGAAGCCGCCTCAGTCGTCCCCGAAAGCTACCCTTTACAAATTTTTAACTATGCACATGGGGAATGCGTCGTCTGGTGGAGCTCGTGGGGGACACAGCAGTGGGGGCGAAAAACAACCCACATCACTTTCTTGAGGTGCCTTTGCTTCAGCCTCGGCTTCAGCCTTAGCTTCGGCATCGGCGTCGGCGGAACTAGACCACAAAATCGGGTTGGTGGCTGAGAATTTACCCGAGCCGCGAATGTCACGTTGCAGATTTTGGGGGACGAGACCACATACCGCACAGAGGTCACATGCGGCAACGGATAAGGTGATTGACGGGAACAGCAGTGCTGGAGGCAAAGCATACCGCTAGACGGGGACGTATGCACGTCATATGTGTTTGTTTTTGCCACCGATCCGAAAAGAAAATAGAGCAGACAAATACAGGTGGACAATTAACTCATAAATCTGGAAGCGTATGTTTGTTTGGATGGTATCAAGAGGTTGCCTGAACGGAGTTATGACGAAAATTTTCACGGGCTTGGCAATTTCACGCTGGAGGTAGACGGCATTATCGTCGCGGCTGGGGTGTCTATCGGCCGAGAATGCTAGATGCGAGTAAGTCCGGGCTGCAAGTTTAACTATCCCGAGGGATATACCTTTTTCACTCACCTAAGCGCCTTCCCCGCCGCCGCTTTCGGCGTCGACGTCGACGTGTCGGATTGCCGTCCCACATACTCAGCTTCGATCGCCTCTGCCTGATCGACGTCGGCCACAAAAGTGCATAACTACGAGCGAAGCCAAGACCCAAAAGATCAGCACCCCCCCTGAACGCCACCGCCACCAGGCATAAAGATAATATTAAAAGTATACTAAGTTCTACTCATATCCTTTTGGTAGTTTTTCTAATTTCTAGATCTTTTTTCCGTCATTTCTTTGTCTTCTCGGCATGACGTAGAGAAGGCGATGGCGCTTAGTCGAATCCCTCCGACACCCAGATAGAGACCGACAAAATATTTGTGAGGGGGCAGGGGCTGGTAACCAACCTTAATGGACACAGCCTGTCGCCGACAAAACAGTCCCCGAATGACGGTGTGACTGGTTCTATTTACTAATCTAGGCCCCCCACATCGCCTAAAGTTGTCACCCGTTCGTATTGAGCGAAAAACTCGGTTCGTGACTGGTAGTCATAATTTTCTTGGGTCGGCCCATAGAAGCACTGGTGCTCTGCCGCTGGGGGAGTGATGCGATGACACTGAGCGCGCGCAATAATAATTTTCTGGGGTGGGTTGAGGCGGCGAAGCGTAGGTCGTGTCCGGGCACAAAACGGCCAGAGGCCCTATGTATACCTAAGCACGGCCCACCACCCCACCCCGAACCGAAAACCAGACACCCCGCCAGCCATGTCTGATCGCCACAAGCCGCGACGAGGCCTTCTGTGTGTGCGGTGCCGGGCCCGCAAGGTCCGCTGCGACAACCAGTCGCCGTGTGGCGTGTGTGCCAAAGAGGGCACCGAGTGTATCCGTACCTCCCAGGACCGGCGCAAGGAGCGGTACTCGCAAGCGTTTGTTGACGGGTTACAGGCGAAAGCCACTAAGCTCGAGGCAGTGGTGGCAGCGGTGCGCCAGGCGCTTGCCGACAGCGACAACCCCCGCGACCAGAGGAAGCCCGATAGTGGGGTGTATGGTCCTACCCTGGTGTTCAATACTGAACCTACCGCTCCCTATGATGAAGGAGAACACTTGGTGATTAGGCAATTGAACCAGGACCCCGTCATTGTCGAGTGCTTGCAGCAGTTCTTCAAATGGCAGTACCCGGGCCATTTCGCCTATATCATCAGACTGGGCTTTCTCCACGAGTTCTTAAACCCGCAACCGCATTTCATCTACTGCTCGTCCGAGCTCGTGTATGCGCTTGCCGCTATGGGGGCGCTGATCGCCGATGACCCCAATATCAAGCTGAGGGCGATTGACTTTTACACCAAAGCCCGCACCAGATTGCTTAGTGGAGGGCCTACTGGTAAATTCGATCGCCCGCTGGTGGCACTGATGCACGCTTTATTGGTATTGCTGTTCTTTGACTTGAGCCATGGCCATAACTCTCTGCTGTGGATGCTCTCCGGTTTAGGCGTGAGAATGGGGTTTGATTTGGGGTTCCACCTCCACCCTGAGTCAGTGTTTACCGCTCCATCGAACCCTGCTTCCCCTGAGTATATTGCCATCAGACTGAGAGTGTTTTGGGGTGCCTATATGGCCGACCATTTCGTGTCATTAGTGTTTGGTCGCCCCACCCAGCTTAAGAAATCAGACGCGTGGACAGCTGAACCCGAGGATGTAAGAGAACTGCTGGGAGTATCACCAGAGTACTTGTTCATCAGTAACAGTGCTGACGGCGAAGCACCCTACCTGGGGATCCCCATCGCGCTGATGGTCACGTTGATCGATATCTGCAACGCCCTGATCGACGACATCTTCAATTTGGGTGCTGCTCGCCACAAACTCGCCGCCCGCTACGCCAATAAGCTCGAAGTGGTGCGCCAGTTTAATCACCAGATGATCCAGTGGCGGTGTCTGCTCCCCCTTGAGCTCCAGTGGACTCCCCGCAACGTGGCCGTGGGAGCGGATAACCCCACTAAGCTCCTGATCCGGCTCTACTACTATATGGCGCTTCTCTGTCTCAACCGCCCGTTCTTGGACGTGGGGGTTGACGGCAACGACATCAGTAGTCCGCGGGCAGTGGTGCTCCAAGCAGTGGATGAAGTGTTAGGGTGTGTCACTCGGTTCAGAGACGTCCACGGACTTCAAAAAGCTCTGATCTACGTGGTCTACGCCCTCGTATTCCTGGTATCAGTGCTTTTGATTCTCAGACCACCACTCACTCCCTGGGAGCGCCAGCCGCAAATTGACCTCATCATGGGCTACATCCACGAACTCTCGTCTACGTGGAACTTAGCGGGCAAGTGCTACGACCAGCTTATCCGCAAAATGAACAGCCAGGTGTCCGCGCCGTCGCTGGTGCCCGAAGTGACGAGCCAGGGCCTGCCACAATACTACGTCGACGACCCTGCCGGCTTGGCAGCGATGTCGCAGCCACCCCAATCCATCCCGGGTCTGGTAGGACCGCCGATGTTCTTAGGGCTGGACTTTATGGTCAACGACTGGGAACCGATCTTCCTCCCCTACCACGATACCATGGGGGCACGGCCCCAATAACGACTTTTGCATTATTATAGGACGGTTAAGGTTATAGAAAAATTTTTATCTCAAGTTGTTCACTTCGTTTCTTGCGAATATGGGAAAGTCTGCTTGCTTTGGTAAAACTTGAACATCCGATTTGCTTTTACTTCATGATACAGTGTACTAGGACATATAGAAAATTCATGTTATCCAGATATATTTTGATGGTTGATTTTAAAGATCCATTGTAATGTTTTCCACGGAGTTTTCAAGTGTTTATTGGTTGAATATACGGAATGAGTATTATTGAGCTTGGAATGAAAATTCAGAAATTCACAGTCAGACTCGAATAATAATCCACAGCGGGATTCCAGTGCTATTGCGTAGACCCGTGTAAAAGGTTCTTTGGTTTTTTCAAGCTAAACTATTTAACATTGGAACTTTCCAAATGTACTGGTCCTCCACGCAAAAGCGCAAATTCGTGCAGCTTATCAATTTCGAAATTTTTGAAATTGCCAGCTGTCACATTGGGGCAGACAGACAAATATTCATCACAACACGGCCACACGAGCCGAATGAGAATCTTGCACCGGGGTCATCATTTCTATGCTTCTAAGTGGTTCCTCAATTTTCCAATGCGTGAGATCATACGAGGTTGAGGCTCCATGGTGCAGCCGGTAAATAACCTTAAGTAAACTGACGACGGACGAGCCAAGTACACCTGAATCAAAAGGAAAATGTTGTCGGTTCACGTGGCCACAATGCTTATCGATGTGAATGCAAGCAAAAATTATTTTCCTTTCCATCTGTACATATTTTGATACAATTGATTGGATTCCAACTCGAACTAGGCCTATCAGTTGTAACCGACGTGCCGACACTTTTGGTCTGGAGACGCTTCAATCACCTGAGAATCCAGATGTTCGGTCAAATTTCTGCTGATACAATCAAATTATTGTTGCAAAACAGTGACACTGGATATGCGCCGGGATACACAATGGGCCAATTAGAGTTGAGTTACATTTACGATGGCGGCAGATAACCATCTCCCCCAAAACCCCTTTGCATCTGCCACGATGTAGCTCGAGATAGGAGTCGTGGCATGGACGAGATGGTCTGGGCTATTAGTGGAATTCCGTTAATGCTAATTGACGATGCTGGAGACAATGATTTTACCGAGATTGGCGGGTCTTTACAGTACCAATGATGGCAACGGGACAATTAATCTCGGAACTATAAGCTGGTGCTGTCGCTTACAAGTCCATATGAAGTAAAAACGACGCAAACAGGTGCATGGGGGCGTTAGCGGGGAAGCCGGCAACCAAAAGTCGAATTTTTTGCCGCATTTTCTGTCTTGAACGAGGCTTTGCCAGCACATTGTTTTGGGGCTGCCGACATCAGTCAATTTGCGTATATTTGTATGTTCAAAACGGTTATCGCTTGCATGGCGCGGCGAACGTTCTCCGCAGGGCGCGTGTCTGCAGCACGGGTGTTTTCCTGGTTGACACATTGGCAATGTGCACGGCACTCTCGCAGTAGCAATAATCGCACCGCCACCATGTAGCAGCGGACGATAGGAACACTCACAAAAACCTGCACTCCGATGTAAGGAAATATCAAAAAAAATCATATATATAAAATGAGCAGTAGACAAACAAATCAGGAACCTGTATAGAAATAGTGAAGACTTAGTAGCCCGTCTTGCTCGGTACTCTATACTGGTGACTGCCCTTAGCTTCGCGCGAACGAGCGAGATCGCGGAGCCGTCGGCAGCCAGGGCCCCCCCCATGTCATCGCTAGCGCTCAAGTTTCTGACCCTCTTGGTTCGGACGTTAGCCAAGCCCGTCGCCCAGGCGATCAAGGCTCTGGCCCAGCGCAACGAGCCCTTCCGCAAGGGGTGTATTGCCATGGCGCAGTTTGTCCACAAGGCCGATGCTCATATGAGAATGAAGCTTTTGGGGGAGAAGAAGTTCAAAGTGCGCCCGTTAAACGACAATAAGGCCATCGAGCTGGGGGCTACGTTCTTGCTGGAGCTGTTTATCTTCTCAGTGGCGTTTGGTCTCGTGGTGTACGAGACGGTGCGGAGTCGTAAGAAGGCTACTACTCAGAGAGAGGCGTTGGCCGACGATATCGAGGTGTTGCAGGGCGAAATGAACCACATCAAGAAGAAGTTGAAGGAGCTCAACATCATCGTCGACGACTACAAAGTGCCGCCAGGTTATCGACCTAAATATATTAAGGTCACCGACGAGGACCAGGGCGACGAGCCTAAAGATCCGCTGAAGGAGCCCGAGGCGCTCGCGGTGGTGAAGGTGGAGTCAGGCAAGAAGCCCGAGACCACCGTTACCGTGGTTAAAGACACTACCACGCCGTCACCGAGTCTGGCGCTGTCGCCTGACCTGACGGACTAAACTGTACATACATTTCCTCATTACATTTAGATAATAATAATACATAGTATAGATAATTGTAGTGGGGCGCGTCTACTTGGGCCCTTGTTTCTTTTCCACCTTCAACAACAACGCCTTGTTGATGTGGGGCAACACCCCCCCGAAGGCGATGGTGGCCTTGATCAAATTGTCCAACTCTTCGTCGCCTCTGATGGCCAATTGCAAGTGTCTCGGCGTGATTCTCTTGACCTTCAAGTCCTTGGCAGCATTACCAGCAAGCTCCAACACTTCGGCGGTCAAGTACTCGAGCACCGCCGTCAAGTAGATCGCCGACTTCGAGCCCACCCGGATCTTATTTTGCGCCTGCTTCTTCAAGTACCGCTTGACACGTCCCACGGGGAACTGGAGCCCGGCACGCGCCAGGTGCGACGTGGAGTTCTTCACTGACTCGGACAGCTTGCCCTTCCCGCCGTGCTTTCCTTTTCCTGACATGGCGCGTTAATGGTCAATGGCAATATAGATGGGTGGGAAAGGAGGTTGTTGTGAGACGCGCCCTTTTCTTGGCTGTGTGCAGGTAAAATCGCATGGTAGCGCTGCGCGTCACCCTCGCCACCACTTATTCGCTCGATCATTCCCCACATTAGGGAAAAATAGTATTGGCGGCCATTGCTGCGAGACCGTAAATTCTCAAGCATTAGCAATGTTATAGGAGCCCAACAGGGCAATCATCGCTTCCACTTCGGCCCGGCTTTTCTGAAGCTCAGTACAAATGCTATCCATGTGCTGGAACCCTTTTAGCATCTTCACCAAGTCGCGGTACTCGTGCTCCTGGCTCTCGTCGACGCTCAGCATCGTCAGCTGTTTTCTCACTAACACTTCGTGTTCAGTTTCATCCTCTTCGTGATCCTCTTCAAAGTCCGACAGGTACACCAGGTCGGAGTCATTGTCCTCAGTGAGCGTTTTCGGCGGCGCCAGATTAAACTTGACTGCTCGGTTTGTAGGCACCACTGGCGCCACTGCCACCTCCTGTTTCTTTTTTAAGGTCGTTTCATTCACTTCGTAGAACTCATCTCGCTCAATGGCTCGCGCAATCAGATTGACGATGGGGTAAGTGTTGACACGGTAAATGATGCGACGAACCACACCGAAATTGATGAAACGGCGCACGTCGACATTCTCCAAAAGCCTCCGATTTTCCAAGAACCATTCTTTTACCGTCATCCCCTGGTTCAACAGTCGGTAGAGCTTGAATAGCGTCAGTTTCAGCGGGATCTTCACTCGAACAGGGTGGCGGCTATTTGGTGGATTCAGCGACCGCAGATTGAAGTAGTTACGCGTGTGACTAGCGGGAGACACACTGTTGACATTTGGAGTGGCAGTAGGCGTCAGAAACAGCTCAGCACCTGACTCGGTGGCGACATAAGCTTGACACTCCTCCGCCATTTGTCCATCGTTGCGGAGGAAATTGGAGATGTGGTTGGTGGTAGCGTACACGTTGGAGAACTGGAAGATATCGATGAGCTCAATGCACCGGTAGTGCATTAAATGCTGGATACACTGCTTGGTGATCATATAGTTAGCCTGAGCCAACTCGGCGATACGGCGAATAGAATTAAGCCCGTTGATATGAGGGATGATTTGAAGCATGGTGGGATCCAGCGTCGAGTCTAATAGATTTCCCAACTTTTCTGTAGCAATAGGAACTTCGTAGGCCTTAATATTCACCGGGGGCGGTAAGATGGGGAAAAGCTTAATATCAACTGAATTAGCCAGGTCAAGCGGGATACAACACTCAGAATAGTTATTCAAATCAGAGAAGATTTGCGAGATCAACAGCTGAATCAGACTGAGGGTAATGGTGGTGGTGCGCTTGTGTCCTGGTGTAAGCTGGCTCGGGTCCATCTCCATCGTCGTCGGTTTCTGTTTGTAGAACGAGTGGTCCGTCTCCAACTTACTCAAGATGAAACTCTGTTCTTCAAGCACCCGAAACATCGTCCCCATGCGCCGGATCGCCAGCTCGTAGGGAGTGGTGTCGCCGACATCGTAGGGGAAAACAAAGCAAAAATTGAAGTTAAACGAATTCCGAGCGTAGGTCAGGTTTTCAATATTAACGGGGAAGCCAATCACCCGGTAATTATTGATTTTGAACAGGAGGAGCTTGTTACAGAGCTGGGGCTTGGGGATGACGTAATTCTTCACCGTGTCGAAATTGAACAACGCCTCGTCGTCGTCGTCCAGCCCCGTGCTCACCGACCCCGCGGGCACCTGGTACACGATCTTGGTGCCTTCTTCAGGGTGGAACACGGCATAGAAGATCGCCAGGATGTGGATGAACCCGGTGTACTCCATGCGCACATTCCCTGAAAGGGCCCCCGAGCATGAAGGACCAAACCATAATAATGCGAGGATATAGTGGAAAGAGGAAAGTGATATCAACAAAATGATGCTAGATGAGTTGATTGAGCTTGCTTATACCAGTAATTTGGTCTCTAGATCGTTTCAGTGGAAGTTTGAGGACTTTCTATGATATAGTTCTACGCCAGACATTGTCATGATGATGCTGATTTGAACTACTTATCCATCGGCTTCCGGCTCCTCAAAAGTTAACGAGAGCATCTTGTCGCCATCGGGGAACTTGACGCCAAATTCAAAGTAATTATACTGACATTCAAGAGGGTAGACATCAGTGTCTCCAAGGGTCTCTTCCTGTATGCGGTGCAAGTCGTGGACGGCTGATGTGGCATCGGCAAACGGCATCATGTTCTCCTGAAACAGATCAAATGCCCAGTCAATCGTGTACATGTGGTCGGGGCTAAGCCTGGTCTCGTCAAGATAAATTGTTTTGTACTGTTGGACAAGTTTCCACACTGATTCTCTGAATTTCGCCTTCGCTTCAATCTGACTCAAGTCCCATGCTTTGGGAGCAGCGTTTGCAGATACTTGTCGTTCATGTTCGTTGATGTCACCAATTGTTTCTACCCAATCACTTTGACACTTCTTCACCTTTTCGTCAAGCTTTTCTCTCTCCTCCAACGTTAATTGGGAGAAGTGGTCGAGGATACCATTGACAATGTTGAATAACTCGTCATTTAATGTTGTGAACTCACGTTCTGTTTCATCAAGGCGGTGTCTGTATTTCAAGATGAATTCACCGATACATTGTCGGTCGTTATCGGTGGGGAGTGCCCGTAAGATTCGACGGACTCTAGGTGAATCGACGATCGATGGTCTGAAGATGGGGTCACCGATAGTCGGTGGCGTGGGGCTGGATTTGAGGTAAGCGATATAGGAGTCGCCACTATTAATGGGAGACAAACTTTCCGAGGGTTCTTCTTCAGAAAGCTCAGTGTATAAATCATGTGGCTGAGTTGGGGGTTCGGATTCCACGAAAGTCTGGTGTTCAGTTAGGGCTTCTATTTGATGGTTGTCCAATGTTCCGAGTTGCATCTGAGTTAAACGTCTAAGGCTAACCAAAGCTTCTTGTTGCTCCTGAATCAAAAATTTTCCCAGTTGAAGACTCTGTCTATGTTCGGCATTGGCTAGTGAATTCCTCATCCCAACTTGTCCAAATGCAATAGGCGTCAGCTGTCCAAGGGAATAGGGCATTTCCTCAAAACTATCCGATTCATCAACAGTCTGTGGTAGGGCTGGAATTGGAAATGAACGGTCTTCACTATCTTCAGTGATAATTTCATCAAATTGAGTTGGAGCCTCATGTGGTGAATTGTAAACGTATCTTAAGGTGGGGACTTGCCATTGTTCACTGAGAGCACGTAACTCCTCAGGCGGTGTAATCGGCGAGGCATGAGGTGGGGCCTCATCACCGGAAGTGGTAGAGTCATCCTTGATCTCGAGTTCGAAAGGATTCGACATGGTGTACTTGATTATCGCAGTCGTTGATTCATTTCACCCCCTTCTCCTCAATACTTGCCACGATTATGCATCATCATGACATGCCTGTCTCTAGTTACCTGAATTATTCCAGTATGGTCATTTGCAGAAAACTTTAATCAAATTAAGCTACTAGTCTTAACTCAACAACGTCAAACATACATTACTTTAAAGGATCGTACTTACGCTTGGACAGCACCAACGACAAAAGAAGCTTCTGCAATTGCTTGCGGCCCTTGGGCAGTTTCCAGATGAAATGGTCCGACTCCTCAGCCACTTCCCACTTGAATAAATCGTCGGAAAGCTGAGTGAGCTCTCGTTGCCATTCGCCCCAGTTTTGCGATTTCTTAATCATGTGGTCCGATGAAATCACGGCGAGCGGCAAACCGTGGATATCGGCGCCCTTCAACTCGTTATACGATAACACCCCCAGGGTGACTTGTTCCTGTAACCGGGCTCTAAGGTACTTGGAGCTGTAGTACATGTCTTTGCCAAAGATTCGAGACTTGGAACTATAGCGGCGCGGGTGCCAGAGCCAGTGGAGCCCGGGAATGACGCCAAATGGCAGCACCACCCCGCGGAGCCATAACTTGAAGCCGGTCCAAGTATCCATGGGCTCCAACACGTGGCGGAAGATCTTTCTTGGTTCCTTCTTGTGTTTAGAACCCGAGAACGGATCGTGTTTAAGCAAGTCCTCCGACCACGCGTCCACCAACATGATCAGATGGATCTTTTCTGGCTTCTTCAGAGCAAACATTCTCAGATACAACCCGCCAATGTCGAACCCGACGAGCGAGAAGGGGCCTTCGATGCCCTGTTCCGCAAGCGCTTGGGCTAAGTACTCAGTAACAATGCCAATCAGCGACGGTGACGGCGACAGATCGGAGAAGGCGTAGCCGGGACGGTCCCAAATACAGTAGCGTTCGATCAGACCCAAGTTGTAGAGTTCTTCGATCCATTCTTGGAACTCTTCACTCAGCGTCAATTGACCACCTTCGACAAGAACAATGGGTTGACGCTTGTCTGGCTTGCCTGGTTTGGTCAACAGAGACTTGTGGACGTCACCATAGCACGACAAGTGGACTCTGAACTGTCCCTCTTGTACGGGTACCAATTCGCCCCAGGGGGCTTCATGAGTGTCGAAAGCATAAAGACTAAGTCTCCACAGCAATAAGATGACGAGCACAAGCATCACCAGCTTCACCACCAGTTTGATGAAGGTGACGAACAATTCGGTGACCAGTTTACGAGGCTCAATTCTTCCTGTAAGTCTGATCTCTTGATACTCTTTAGCTCCCTCGACCTTATAATTGACCAAGGCATCATGGAGCACCATAAGCATCAACCATAACGTGGCAAACGTGCCAAAGAAACCTAAGGCATCTCTCAACACGGGGACAGTAAGGATGGTGATTAAATCAATCAATAAGAAACCAGCTTGAAAGAAGTCAATCACCCGCTCATATTTCAGGGGCACATCAATCTTCCACAACGTCACCACGTTGGTCAACGCCGCCATCAAGAGCACCACGTCTTCGTAGAAACTGCGTCCTCGACTGAAGAAACCCGGGATGTTGATGAAATCAGAGAGCCACGCCAAAAGCGTCGCGATCACATTAATTACCAACACCACTCGAGTCAAATTTTGGAGGAAGCGAATCTTCGGTAGTCTCAATGGCAGCACCTGCGGATCATCAGGGTTCAATGGTCGCCGACCAAGAAGCGGCTGAGCTTCAGGATCAACGGCTAAATCCTGGGGAGGGTGGGGAGTGGTAGAGGCATTGGCGGCGTTAGCAGCATTGGCAGCCACCGGGGCTGGTTGCTGAGCCACCACCGGAGTCTGGGGGTTCTGTTTGGGCCCGTTGGCCTTTTTCGCCTCGGGAGGGGGGGACATGATTAATTTCTTGTGCTTGTAGGCGTTGGTTGCTATCTATATATGAGACCCCTCCATTGCGGGTAGACTAGGCAACCCTCGGCCACATGCACGCTGGGGAAAACTACCGCAACAATGGCACACTCCTACATCATCTGAATCAGTATCAGATCACTAGGTTTGCTTCGCTCTAGTGGAGACTTCTCGAGGGAAGGGCGATAGCCGTGTGTCATCATGCGCCTACTGTAAAGGAGGGGGGACGCGTGTACAGGAAGTGGCTGATGTCGAGCTTATTTACCATTAAGGTCATCAAGGGAAAAATACCTTGGTGGCTGATGCTTCTGTAGTAGAATTGGTTTCAAACCACCGAAGACTATGAACAAATTGGGGATCTATGCTTGATAGTCATACTATTAAAATTTTTGATGTCGTCATCATACATTTGCACTAAATACTCTCTCAATCGCGTGGAGTTATACTCATTCAACTACTTCTTCTTCATCTTCAGAGGGGTCTTGGTGAGTCACCGCCAAATCAGTAGGGTGAACAACTGGAGGACGGTCACCCATGTAGATGTAGACGTTGGAATTTTTGCAATGGAACCCGCCAAACACGACGGCAGGTACGTCGCGAACGGTAGTCGGTTGAACATGGCGATCAGGACGCCCAAGGCGTCTGTTGCCAACACCAGGCCGGCTCGAGCCAACACCAGGCTGGGTCGAACCAACACCGGGCTGCGGCACCACTCGTCTCGCATGAGAGCCCACCGTGGTGGTAACCCGTCTTTCCTCGGTGCCACTAGCCTCTCTTCTGTAGCGGTCTTCTTCCACCACCGACTGTGTGATTTCTGGTCTTTGCACACGATTCGCCGTTGACACGGGTTGTCTCGGAGCAGTACGCGTTGGCGTCGTGGCTTGACGTTGCTGAGTGCCGGCCTCAGTTTCCACCCGTCTGTGTTTCAGTCCAGAGCCCGAGCTTGAATCTTCGCCATTGGCGGAGGTTCTCTTGTTGGTCTGAGGACGTCTGCCGATCGCGTTGGATGAAGAAGGGTTGTCAGGCAGTTTCTGCGGTGTAGCCATTGGCAGCTGCAACGGGGGCATTGGTCTCACTGGAGGATTAGTAGACAAATCAGTGGAGCGAGGCAATAATCCCGCGGGAACTACCCCTGGGCCATGGGTGATAGGCGGCGGCAACCCCGTTGTGACCCCACTAGATACCTCAACTTGAGGCGGCGCTTGAGTTTGAGCCGGGTGAATAGCAATGCCATGCAGCATACCCTGAACCGGTTGAATAGCAGTACCATGCGTACCTTGAGGTGGGGGGATAGCAGAGCCAACCATCGTACCCTGTGCGGGGGGACTAGCAGTACCACACAGTGTACTCTGAGCGGTTTGCGGACAGGACTCATTGGTAGGAGCTCCCTCGACAGAGGCAGTATTAGTAGGATTCCCTTCCGATTCGTCAGGAATCAAAACCGCCGACAACACCTTGAGGAGCTCTTGAAACACCGAATCTTTCAAGTTGTGGCCGTGATTCTCCAACAACTCAAGCGGGCTGAATCGAGCTTCCTTTAGAGCCAACGCCAAGAGGTCTGCAATCGCAGGGACGTGAGCTAACTCGACATTCTTCGACAAAAGCCGGGGAATCACCGCATTCGCCACATAGGGCGACACCTCCAGGCTGTGTTTCACCAACGCGGCCCGAGCATCCTTGGGAACTACGTCCCAGAGGACATCGATGATGAAGGCGGCTCTGCGGTCAAGAGGCGCGGGCTGGCGTGATATCATCCACACAAGCTCCTGGCAGTCCTTGCTCGCAGCTCTGGTCAACGCCGCCTTCTGCCCAAGGGCACTCGTGATGTCAAACAACTTGTTGACGATCTCGGGCGACGGGCGGTTTTTGAACAACTCGTTCATGCCTTTAACGTAATGGGGCACCGATACGGCTCGAGCCGGTTTGGTAAGAGTCTGGGTAGCGACCGAGCCACACTTTTCAACAATCTCGGCGTCCAGAACATCCGGTTGCGTGACAAAGCGGTAGAATTGCAAACCTTGAGGGCCAACACTTTTGTTTTTACCTCCAGTGGTAGGGGTGGTGGTTCTAGCGCCGCCGCCAGCGGCATCATCGGAGTCCTCTTCCTCGGAAGCAACGCTATCTTCGGGAGCGATAGTGGGGGCACCACCGTCAGAGTGACCTTCGCTGTACTCGGCTTCGTCCTCCGAGAGGCCGGCGTTGGCTTTCTTCGCCATCTTCAACGGCCAGTAAAGAGACAAGTGGTGGGCGAAGGAAGAGAAAATTGTTGTCGTGGCGACCGCGTGTGAGGGCGGGTGTTTCAAGTTTCCTTCGTCAAGGACTGTGCATGACCCCACCGCCAGCTATTCTTCCCTCACTGAAGAACAAAGAGGCTTTGACAATAAAATTAGGATTTTATCAATTGGATTGACATGGAAATGTGCTCGCAATTGAATGTAGTGTAACTGGTGTTGGCAATTGAGTAAGGGGCGACTTTGGTTAGCTGGGGCTTATCATCGGTTTGACGAGCAGCATCAGTGTTTTGGTGGTGCCAATAATAGCGTGTTTCCTCGGTCGCGAGTGCGCGTCACGTGAAGCACACTCAACACCATGAATCAGCACCATCGTCGTCAACATTCCCTAGGCCGAAATTGAAGGGAACTTTTCTCTCGAAGACAGTAGCTCAAGATCTATCAGTGGAAATGTCTCGTCATGAATAGCATTTTGTTGTTCAGGAATTCGACTGATAGGCCAGATCTGAACCTATATATCTCGATATTGACACTGGTAGGCTAGTTATCAGATTGTAGGAGGCTTTATACTACCAACTACCAATTTAGGCTCTTCATTTAGCGGTTGCTTTAGTCTAAGCGATGATGTGAGGGGAGCCATGCGCCACCGATGAGCGTCAGCACTAAGCACCTAAATAGAGGACAAAGATGACAACAAAGAGGGCATTGTTTTGAAGCACACGAGTGATAGCAATTTACGGAATCGGATCAATACCTCTAGCGATACGGGCTTTAATTGAGGGGGGGAGTGCCTGCGCGGCAGGCTCTCTTTACGTATAGTTGCTTCTACAGGAGAAACCCCTCCGACGCAAGCATCGGGCGCCACGACCGTTAACTGTCTATGATAAAAATCACTCATGATTTGAGTCACTCATTTCACGTAGCCCTACCCTAAACGAAAATAAACCCAATAAATAATTCAGAAAAGGAATGTCGTGTCTCGTTTCTGTTTTTTTCGCTTAAGTAACGTCCATGGGTTGAAGCCACCTCAGCCACCTCAGCTTGCATAGGTGTTAGGCGCACACTGCAAAGGTGAGGGCTCACAGAACCGGATGGAACCGAGGNTACGGGCCCCCCCCCCCCCCAGGTCTGTGTAGCTGTCGCCAGTGTCTGACCATCACGAGATCACCCCCTACTAATCTCGATGAAAACCCGCTTTGTGGTCGCATAATTACTCCGGAGGTCATTGATTTTTTTGAGGCTTACCCCACCGTATTAATATGACGGCGATAAAGTGGTCGAATGCGAGGGTGCTGAGAAAATGCGTTGCCTAGCCACAAAAAAAAAAGAATTGGCCCCTCCGAGGAAAAAGGCTAGGCACCAGGTCGCGATGGCCTTCCCGGAGACCCGCTCATTCCGAGCAACACCCGAGCACATCCACTACTAGTAAAACGACATTTACCAAGTATCAACTATCACTCAGTATACACACAATCACATGTATCATTCGTCTTAGCTCCGTTTCCTACCAATCTGCCCGGGGCCTTAGTCATGGGCGACGGTGACCGGCCATCATCGCGCTACTTCCCGATTAAGGCTCCACGCACGCGTGCAGGAGCAAAGTGCCCGGGTGCAGTAACGGCGCCGTCCCCGATCTATATTTGCCGGCCCCGTACCACCCATTCCCCCACTACAATTTACACCATATACCAAAACCCATGCCCCTGCCCATCTTCATTCTGAAACCGCTGATACTGTTCCATCCCTCGGTGGTGCTCATGGGTGCTGCCGAGGCGCTATGGGCCACCGTGGGGCTTGTCGGTGTCTGCCTATACACGCTATCGTCGCTCCAGGGGCTTGTCCAGGCGTGGCATACGCTCAAGATGCTGGTGCTGATCCACTTGTTATTCCAAATGCCCCTCTACTTAGTCCGCGGCGGCTACCACGTTCTCGAGATGGTCACGGGGCGGCGATGTCCCGTGCCCCCGCCGATGGCCCGCCTCGACACGTTGGTCACCGACTACTACACGCCACACGTGTTTCTCATGGTGATGCTGGGGTTCTTTGTCGTCGACTGGGACGGGATGCTTGTGTCCGGAGTCACGCCCCAGATGAAAGACGCCCTCACCAGTTACCCTAACGAACACCGCCAGTACCCGAAACCATGGCGCCAGCGGCTTTATTACTTGCTTAAGACGTCGCCGGAGTTCCAGCAGTGTGTGTCCCGCTACGCCTACCACCTCGTGTTTGCCCTGGTCGTGTTCGCTTTGGTGGAAGTGATCCCCGACTACAAGTGTGCCCCCGTGGCCCTCAGCTTTTTGACGTGGAAATGGCTTTCGGAGCGGTTGGGAGCATTTCCCCTGGTGGTGGTCATCGGCATGCTCAACCTAGTGGACTTCCGCTACCAGGGCCCCGTGGTGACGCTGTTTGCCGGCGCCAGCCTTCTTGCCCGCGACTTGCTCGTCCCCTATTTTTGCCGGGTCCCCTTTACGCGCTACGAGCTGACCCAGTGGGTCAAGCTGCGGGAAGGGGTGTTATGGGGTTTTGCCGTCGTGTTCTGGTGTCTCCTCTGGCGGTTCCCCGTCGCCTGCTTTTGGATCTATAACGCGGCCCAGTTCGGCATGGGCCGCCTCATCTCGCGGATCCTGGCGGCGCCGCCTCCGTCCAAGTCCGCCTTCTACCACTGGCTGACGTCCCAGCTCGTGTGGCGCCCCGTCGTTACCTAACTACAAAAAAGCATAGTTCTAGCATTAATCCACGTTTCTCGTCATCACCCAAAATTCCCTCCGTTTTTAATAGCGTAGTCACTTGACAACCGGCTTTGGTCAGACATCCACGTGTTTTGTCTCATTAGCCTATACACGTCTAATTATCTCAAGTGTGTGTACCCCGTGGGTCACTGGTCTAAATGGAGTATACGGTCGTGTGCCATTTTATACGGAACCCCGCTGTCTAAAACTCGTGGGCAGAACCAGACTCCTTACCAGCAACCAGCTCACCTACATACTTGGCGGCATCTTCGATCTTGTTCTCCACCGAGTCGACGGCGAAGCTGAGCTTCTCCTTGAAGTTGTGCGGGTGTTGCCCCGCGTGGCCGCCGTGGTGGTGGGGTTTGCCGTCGGCGTCGCCTTCGGCGATGGCGTGGTGGTTGGCAGCGGTGTCCAATGGCGGGACCAAGGCGTCGGTGGTGGCGTGGTGGTGGTGGTTCGTCGACATAGTGTGTGTTGGTAGTGGAAATGCCGTGCGGCTCTGAGTGCGGCTTCGACCATGCGGCTTCAAGTGGGGCGATAACGATCCCGTCGTGACGTCATCATCTCACCCCACTAATGCTACCATCCAAATGAACTCATTGAAATGACAAATTAAACTAATTGGGGACACCGAAAGTCGAAATCAAGTCCAACAATCACAATTCTATTGGTTACTAACCCTGAACAGTGAATGCTTATATTTAATAATGTTTAGTACAAGCCGAAACACCAAGTATCATACTGGAGTATACGGCAAGTCGCCAAAGAGAGAAAGAGTTATGTTCAGAGTAAGAGCATCGCAGCCATTGCCATGAGTGCCAGCGACACTCGGGGCATCGTCACAACACCGGCACCTTCATATTCAAATACCGGTACCAGTGACAATTGCGCAGCAGGAATCTCTCCGCTTGCGGACGATACTGGCGGTACCACCAGCAGCAACGAGGTTTCAGCAGTAGGCACCTCGTCAGCGTGCAACGTCGGTGTCAGTGACGTCACGGTAGTAGGCGTTGCGGTGGTGGTGGGGATATCATATGATACCGTGGTCATTTCACAATAGTTACCTTTGCAAATGACCTCTTGGTAAGCAGTTTTGACATCACAGCCTTCACCGGCATCGCAGGGAACTTCCGTAGGAGGCACAGTACGAGTAGTAGTGGTGGTAGGCGAAGGCGGCGGGCCTTGGTCAACTGGAGCAGGCTGTTGTATCGGCACTCTGGCGCCCTCCATGATATTTTGAATCACCGCTGGCTCCTCTGTAGGGATGGATTCCTCTTCACTGCTGGTGGTGGGTTGTTCCACGGGAGCTGAGGCTTCGGTGGCTTCCGATTCAGAAGTATCGGATTCAGTAAACGTCGGTGGTGGTTGTATTTCAGTGGTGATGAATCCCACTTTACCGTTCAGCACTGTTGGCCATACTTCACAAGGGACTTGAACAGTCACCGTTTCGTGAGCACACAAGTCACACGTCTTCGTCACCGTCACTTTGTCAATGGTGGTCTCGTAGACAACGGCAATCGGTTGATCAGGCGACACTTCGGGTTTTGTGGAGTTATCGTCACCAACTTTTAATGCCAGTTTCCCTTCGGTAGAAATGTCGGCATTATCGTAGCCTTTGAAGATTTTGATACTGGAACGATCTTCTTCGTCAGTGATGCCCTTACAGGTGTAGCGGTCAGTATATTGGTGGCCTTCACTCGTCAGTTGGGACCGTCCCGCAATAAATGGAGTGTATCCCGTGGGCACGTTATTATATCTCAAGGTGAGGGAGTTACCCAGACATTCCACTGAGTGGGGGAATTCGGTGGTGTACTCTTCAAGGTAGCCAAAGGCATTGTATTTGGAAGCGAACCCCGCCGTGACCGTATCACAGTCAATGGCATTTTCTAAAGTAACACCAAGCACACCATTATCGTAGCCCTGGTCGCAATTGTCTTCGGTATTGACAAAGAAAAGCGCTTTACCCAGTGAAGGGAGCGTTCTCTGTAACGAGTACAGCTTACCGGAAAAGCCTTCAAACTTAGCCTTACCAGTAAGATTATTAGCCCCATCAGTAAAGGTAAACGACCCATCCTGAGGAGAGAATGCTTTAGCACACTTGGAGTCGATATCTGAACCAGTAAGACCAGCGTTAAACGCTAAAGGTACAGTGACTTTACCCTTGACTGATGAACCCTTGGAAGGTGCTTTAGTAATGGTACACTTAAGCTGAGCCAGATCAGACACGTCTTCACCATTGAAAAACGTACAGTCGGCATAGTTTTCGTTGCCAACAGCCAATGAAAACTTTGGCAGCGACGCCGTCAATTTGAACACACAGGGCATGTCCAACACCACTTTGTCGCCAACGTGGTGTTGCGAGCCGTCGATTGTCCACAGCAATGTTGTCATCCAAGATGGGAACAGTGGCAACGCTGCCGGATACTCGTAGCCTCCATTGGACCACACACAGTCGTCAATCAGGGTGAACACTCCCAGCACGCTAGTGGCGTGGGCCGTTAACGCCATTGCCACGGCGACGATGGCGGAGCGACAGAGCATTCGGGGGGATGTCAAACTGGAGTGATAGCACTAAAGCTAAAGAATTTTCGCTGCGGAAACAGATTCAGGGCATTGTTTGCGTTTCCCCGGTATGTGGTTAATTTTAGGCGGCATGGTACATTCGCGTACCTGTCTTTTCGCGACTGCCTCACCAAAACAATCGCGCCAGAATTAGAGCTGGCACAGCCAAATGGAGAAGGTGCCATTTTGTAGTACGATGTTCACCTGGGTCGAATTGAAAGAAAATTGAATCAGTTGATTTTGTTTCTGTAAATCTTTGATGACTTTGACGTTCATTACCTGTTTCATTACCCATTGCGCCTTTCTCTCGCCAATAATTGCCTATTTGTGGGGGCATATTTGAGAACCACTCGCGTTGGTCAATACGCAATATCGTATCACCCACTACAAGGGCGAGAGAAACGGAAACATTAGTTTTATTTGTCTTTACCAAGCAGATCCAATTGAAATTAATCAAGAGTAAATCTTTTGCCTAATGGTTAAAGATGACAACATCGCGAGCCACTGGTGAGTGAACTCAACGACTTGTGTGTGATGACCTACTCTGTCACCGACCAGAAACCTAAATAGATAAAGTTCAACCTGGCTTCTATAGCGGTGGCATTGCACTACAATAAAGATCCGATTTTTGACTCACGTTTTATACTACTACTAATCTCAGTATCCTCAGTAAAACACTTCTATCACAAAAAATCAAGCGTCGTCGTTATCGCCTGGTCATGTGCGCGATCGGGCTTGCCCCCGCCGGTTGCGGGCCCCGGCGCGCGTCACCGAAAGCCCCATGATCAATCATCAACACTAGCACCATAGACTCGCCCCCTTCTTCAGCATGGGCGACGTTTTCAACGACATAGAACAGGACAACAACCCCAGTTTTTATGGCGACACCCTGATCTTGGCCAACCCGTACCCGCATACCCGCAGCCAGCAGCAACCAGCGCTGCCAGTGCCGCCACCGCAACACAGCCCTCGCCTCCAACAGCAGCCGCCCCAGGTCCGGGAGCAGAGTCCGGATGCCACCGACTTGGTCAACAGTACCTTGGGACTCTCCAATAAGATCCTGGCGCTTCTAGACCTGCTGGACTTGGAGATAGCCGTTGTGGCGTCCGAGCACTTAGTGGGCACCTCGGTGGTGGTATACCTGATCCAATTCGGCCGTAAAGGCGATAGTGACGACCAGCGAATAATCGTCAAGCGGCGCTACTCTGAATTCAAGCTGTTCCGCGAGCAATTGCTCCGTTTGTTCCCCACGGTGATTGTACCGCCAATCCCCGAAAAGCATACGCTACTCAGCTATCTTGTCAACTCGATCGACAATTCCCACGAAATCCACATTATTGACCTGCGTAAACGTTATTTCACTCGTTTCCTCAGGGAGCTTATATTTGCCTCAGATCCTCGTCTTCGCCAGCTGGCTCTCACGGTGAAGTTCTTGGACCCCAACTACGAAATGGCATGGGACAACGCGCTTCTGGAACCGCCGGTACTGGTACTCCCCAAGCTGATGCTCTTAGCTAATCCAGTGGACACTACTGACCAGAACGGGCTCTATGTCCTCTTACCGCTGATCAACGGGTTTGATATCTCCAAGCTGCTGGACAACATGCCGCTGCTCCGCCGCATCAATGACGACTTGGCAAAGTTGTGGGAGCAGATCCAGTTGATGGAGGCGAAGCGCCACGAGTTCGAGACGCGGCTGAAGATGACGCTCCCCGCTAACTCTGAGGATGAGAACTTTACACCGTTCCACAATATCCCTCCTGAACTCGTCAAGTTTGAAAACGAGTTCCATCAGCTGATTAAAGCGCTTGACGACCTCGATAAGCTCAATAACCGCCTGGTGAAGAACTACAAGCAAATGATCCATAACCTCATTGAATTGGGCGGCAACCTCAACAACTTCTCCCTCCAAGTATACGACAACTCTCCCGGGGTGGACAATAGTCTTTCGGCGGCCATCGAGAAGTTTGGCCTGGCCCTTGACTCCAACTTCTTGAACTTTGAGGGGTTTCTTCAGGACCGACTCATTACCGAATGGCAGGAACCAGTGCACCAGATGAACCAGTACTTCTATCTGGCGCTCATTCTGATCAAATTCTACAAGTATAAAGTGATACAGTACAAGTTATTGTATAAGCTCAAATTCCAGAAATACCAGGAGATGTTCGGCACTGTCAGCGTGCCTGAAGCGCCTGGGAAACCGGCTGACCTTGACCACCTTGAAGGCCTCCCCCTGGCTAGTTTAAGCCAAGCAATCCAGAAGATCAAGCATGCCAAAGACACTGGTCAAGCGGGGCAATTACGTCAAAAGAAGAGCTGGTATGGCATTTTCGGTGGCGGTCTGAACTACAACAAGCAGTTTAGCAAACGTCTATCTGCGGTAGAGGCTGAAGAAGGCGAGAACGGAGCCGACGTGGGCTCTAAATTTATTCAGATGGAGCGGGAACTCACCAAAGTGGCCCAGCTCATTGCATTGACGACACGAGACATGAACAACCTCACCGACGAGCTCATCAAGACGTATCGGCAGTTCATCAAGCAGCTTGAGCGGAAGTGGTTGGAGCTCATGATCGCGTACCTACGGCTGGGGAAGCAGTTGTTCGAGGCCAACCGCGACAACTTCACCGAGCTCCGCGAGTGGCTTGAGCAGGCGCCCTAGGGCCCCAATGGAATGTTATGTATTTAATCGGTATCAACAAGCACCTGGGCCCCCGCCGCCTCGTCGAAGGCGTGGGGGTTCTCCTCGACAAACTTCTTGAACCGGTAGTACTTCTCGTCCCGCAAGTTGTTGTAGGTGATGAAGTTGATCCACACCTCAAAGAACACGTAGGTGAACACGAGCGAGTTTGCCAACGGCAGCTCGGCGAGGTAGCAGTACGCGGCCACGGCAAAGTATATAGCGGTCCGGATGGGGATGATGGTTTCGAAGTAGGCCAAGTTCTCCAGGAGCAACGGCACGAGATCGGCTAATGCAAGCATAGAAAACATAAACGCCAAAATGCCCACTAAGGGGTTCTCCTTAGTCAAGAACACTAAGGGCACCTTCATCGCCTGGCCCAACAACACGACGATGCCGATGGTGCCGAGCTCCTCGGGGGCCATGAGGAGGTAGTAGACAATGATGAGAAGGTAGAGCACCCTCACGTAGACCATCAGCTTGGCCGAAAGGAATTGCATGGTGGACAAAGGGATATGAGTACGGTGGCCAAACGCGCGATGGAGATCGCTTATCACAGCGAAAGATGTGTCACAAAGAGAGTAGTGAAAAATTGCATTCGAGGGTGAAGTTAGTCTAGTATGGTTTTGTTGCGATCTACAAACTGAATTTCTAAACTCTTTCGTGCAAGCCTATAATTATCATTTTCAAGTCTATTGTTGCTACACTGTCTCTGACATACCTGAAGTCCGATATCAAGCATGTAAACGTGAATCCACTATGGTGATGGCTTCATAACTTTGCGACCCCATTCACCAATAACTTTCCCATTTTCCATTTGGAAATGGTTCTCCTCATGACCGCTTACTTCTTCTGGAAACACCAGCGCAACTAGACTACCATAAAACTAAGACACTGAATGGTTCAACTTTTAAGGCTGTCGATGCTCAGTCATGATATTTCGAATGGTCTGTGATTGATGACGTTCTTTTTTATTATAATTATGAATCGATCTTTGTCTTTTTCCCTCTGTTTCTCTCTCTCTCTCTCTCTCTTTCTCTATAAACACGCTAACTAATTGTCTGGTACTTTCTCAACTCGGTCAACAATGTTTGCAACTGGACATCCGACACCTTATGCGCCAAACTGGGGATCAACAGCTTCGCTTCTTCGGCTTCTTCACACTCCAACGACCCGAGCTGGGCCAACTCAAACGGATGCAACGGCTCCAGCGCCAGCGCACTGAAGTCGGTCAAGAGCTTTTCCACCGTCTCGACACTGCTCGAGTTCTTGAACCGGGCGAAGTTGGCGAGGTAATTAAGGGTTTTGTGCATGATTTCGTTGGAGTCAGGACCCGCTAACTCCATGTTGGAAATCTCGTCTTCCTTTTCGTTTTCCTCATTCTCCACGTCTTCGGCCGTCTGCTGCCCCCGGTTATTCTTGTTTTTCCGTTCCTTCAACGCCGCCCGAATCAACAACCGGGCCTCGCTGTTGTTGAGGGCGATCAACTGCTCGGTCTCGCCGCTGTTGGTCATCTGCTGGAGCTGGAACTCGGGCCCGAGCTTGAGCACCGCCGCATTCTCCTCCTCGTCGATGTTCTGGCTGGTTGCCTTTCTTCTCCGCACCCCAAGCGCACTGGTACTGACGTTCATCGCTGAAATGTTTTTCGCCGCGAGTGGTGTGGTATATGGTAGTGAGACAGTGAGCAAGACGGAGATACTAAAGTGGGGCTGAAAGGAGAAGAAGGATTCTGTTTTTGAGAGTGTCAAAAACAGCCGCTACCAATTACAGTTTAGAAAAGACTACTTTCATCATTATTTAAACGATGATGCTTTCGAAATGAGTGAGTGGCGTGGGGCTAGGGTCGTGCAGCGCTATGATAAGCAGGCAATTTACACCTCTACAGAATTAGTAAGTGTAAGTAAGTATAGGGTCATTAAGTGGATACGTACATCGTTATTGCGGGGGTGGGGCCGGCTTCTGGGGAGGAGGAGGCGCAGGTTTGGCCTTGGGTGGAGGTGGTTTGATGTCAGTGGGAGGTGCGGGTTTGGCAACAGCCGGGGGTGGGGGTTTTGCCTCAGTGGGAGGAGGCGGTTTAACATCAACTGGTGGCGGTGGTCTGGTATCAACTGGAGGCGGTGGTTTGGCGCCAGAGGGAGGAGGTGGACGCACAGGTAAAGACAACCCAGGGGGAGGAGGGCGTACGGTTTGTGGAGGCGGTTGTGTTGGTAATCCTGGTGGCGGAGCAATTGCAGGTGTAGCAGGAGCTGCTGCTGCTGATGCCAGTGGAGGCGGTATAATGCCCGAAGTATACGGTTGAGGCAGCGAGTGTTCGTCATCGACACGACGACGCTTAGAGTCACTTTCGTCGCCTTCACCATCTCTGGGGGCTCGACAGTCACGAGCATAGTGGCCGACCCGCTTACAGATCTTACACACCACTTTGGTGATGTCCATACGCGTAGGGCGCTGTTCTTCAGGAACGTAAGGCTTGGTCTCTCTAAGAGTACCGTTGAGGATGGCCAAGTCACGCAACTGAGTTCTCTTGAACTCGTTTTGTCCCGTAGGCGATTCAATCGCCTTTGACACGATTTCCTGAGTCAATTTCTTCGCAAGCGCGATTTTGTGGGTAGTGTCAGCGGTGATCACCACGTGTAAATCGTCATCGTTTTCAGGGTTACCGGAGTCGTCACCTCTCATACCTTCCTTCACCAGCCCTTTACCTCTGATAGCAAGCTTAGCGCCTGATTTCTCCTGGAGTTCGCGAAGAGTATTGCCTCTAGGACCAAGGAGAAGCCCCACGAAATTGATATCCGGGTATTCGTTAAGGGGGATATACAACTTGTCACGATTCTTTTCCGGTTTCTTGTAGTCGACAGGAGGGTTATATTCAAGCACGTCGCGCACCGCTACTTCTACCAAGTAGTGCTGTTCTTTCTCCATGGCTTCGATGGTACGGGCCTCGCGGGTATTGGTCCGGATACCTCTCGAGTCGTATTTGGGAGGCGGCGACGGGTCTCGCCGATAATTTGGATTAGCCTCAGGGTTTCCCGAAGGGAGAATCAGCGTCACTGGCCGTTTACGGGTGCTGGCAAAACGGAAGATGTCGGCGATCTCCTCGATGCGGAACATCTCCTGGTATGCATCGATTTGTTCTGGAGTCAAATGGCCCAGAATCACCGTATTGAACGTTCGCAGACCCATCTTCTTGCGATGGGTGGGCAGCCCCAGCCATTTGGTCGACATGGGGAGGAATTAGTATAGAGTGGCTTGAGTAGTGAGTGGTAAGTGCGCGCGAGCGATGGCGGTGAGGCTGGAGATGCTAAGACAGGAAATAAGATAAAATGATGGGAAAATCGGTAAATTAATTGATTTATATCGAGGAATAACAAAAAGTAGGGGTCAGAGGACCAAAAATGGACGAGTTGGGAATCGAACCCAAGACCTTTCGCATGCTAAGCGAACGCTCTACCAACTGAGCTACACGCCCGAATCTGGTTTCGCATAAGTGTGCGCACATCACGTATTTATAGTTGAATGGTGGCACTGCCGCTAAATCGGTTTTACCTAACATAAAATATAGTGTAAACATGATATTCATGGTCACTTTGCTTGATTGTATGCTTACATCCGGTTTTTCTCCTCATTCCAAGTGACAATCACCCCACTTTTAATCGGCTGATGCTTACATCATCTGTCGCCCAAGTGCGTTTGCTGAACCGTATGAGTCTTCGCCAGGTGATCCGGCGGCTTCTGAGCGCCGCCTCCGTCGTCCCCAGCGTCCAGGAGCTTGTGGCCCAGGCCAAGCCCGATGCTGGTGGAGTGATGTCCATCCTTCAAAGCCGCCATCTCATCGAACTGGTCACCAATGACGAGTTATTCGACCTCACGGCCACCGACAAAAAATTCAAGTTATACTGTGGCGCCGACCCCAGTGCCCCCTCCCTCCACTTGGGTAACTTGTTACCTCTTATGGTATTGCTTAACTTCGCCATCAGAGGCCACTCAGTGGTTGGTCTCGTGGGTGGAGCTACCGGCGCCGTGGGTGACCCTTCAGGAAGAACTAGTGAGCGTCAGGAAATGGCCGATGGCACCAGAATTACCAATGTCGGCCACATTGAGAAGCAAATGACGACGTTCTTTTCCAGAGGTATCGAGTACGCTAAGCTGAGAAACTTCCCTGTCGAAGATGCCACTCGGGAAGTGCAAAACAACTATAACTGGTGGAAAGATATTGGGATGTTGGAGTTTTTAGCCAAGTACGGGCGCCACATTCGTGTCACCCAAATGTTAGCTCGTGACTCGATCTCGTCGCGGTTGAACTCGGCGGAAGGGCTTGGGTTCAATGAGTTCACCTACCAGATTTTACAAGCCTACGACTTCTACCACTTGTTCAAAGTTGAGGGAGTTAACATCCAAGTAGGTGGTAATGACCAGTGGGGGAACATCACCGCTGGTGTCGACTTGATCCTGAGACTTAAGCCTAATAAGGATGATAAGAACGATGCCTATGGTGTCACCGTGCCGTTGCTCACTACGCCTCTGGGAGAGAAGTTCGGTAAGTCTGCCGGCAATGCCGTGTTTATCGACTCGGAAATGACCACTCCCTACCAATTATACCAGTTCTTCATTAATGTCCCCGACGAAATGGTGCAACGTTTGCTCAGACTGTTCACGCTTTTGCCGATTGAAGTCATCGACAAGGTGGTCGAATCGAGTCAGAAAGACCCTACTCTCCGTAAGGCTCAGCGCGTGTTGGCTCGTGAAGTTGTGGACCTTTTACATGGCCCTGGCACTGGTGATGAGATGGCCTACATCTCCTCGTTCCTCTTCAACACGCCCGACATGCCCTTCCAAGACGAAGTGTCTGCTGACAAGTTGATCAAGGCGTTCGATAAGCTGGGCATTTTGCACCACCGCCAGTTCCTGGACTACCCCAACATTGATGACTTGAAGTTGAGCACACTCTTAGCCGATATCACCGGTAAACTGAAGCGGGAAATCAAGAACTTGTTGGCTCAAGGTGCTGTGTACGTGGGCACTGACCGCCACCAGGTACAAGACCCCGATGACATCATTTTGTTCGACAAGGAGCGTTTGATTGACGACAAGTTGTTGTTGGTCCGTTTGGGCAAGAACAACTACTACGTCGTTGAATGGAAATAAATATGTATATAGTATCGTTCATAGAAGAACACGAAATTCTTATCAAACAACCTTGGTCATTCGTCAATAACTATGACATATTTGACAACCACCATTCTTTCATCAAATGAGATTGTACTGTGGCTTGGTCTAAAGCAGCGACATCTCCGTAAACATTTCTACAATAGCGATAATCAAGATTTCAAAATTTGTTACATTATATTTTTCGATTCACTACAGAATTATCTTCAATCAATCATCACGCATTAGATTTATACTCTTATACACTAATCACCTAATCAACTTCTTCCATGGCCGATTCCACAGGAGCGTCAGCGGGTTCGGCGGCGGCAGCAGCAATTTCAGCTTCTTCTTCGTCAATGTTCAAACCCAATTGAATCAATCTGTTGATTCTGTTGGCGAACAGGGTGGGGTCGTCGAGCGAGAAACCCGAAGTCAACAACGCGGTTTCGTACAACAAGGTGGTCAAGTCCTTGACGGTCTTGTCTTCGGCGCCGTCGGCGTCGACCTTGTTCTTCAATTCCTTGATGATGGGCGACTTGGGCGAGATTTCGAAGGTCTTCTTCGACGACATGTACGACGACATGGTGGTGTCTCTCAAAGCCTGAGCCTTCATGATTCTTTCCATGTTGGCCGACCAGCCAAATTGACCGGTTCTGATGGCAGCGGGGGCTTCAGGGCCCAACTTGTGCGAGACAACAACCTTTTCGACTTGGTCACCCAAGATTTCCTTGAGCGACTTGGTCAAAGGTTCGTATTCCTTGTCTTCCTTCTCACGTTCAGCCTTTTCTTCTTCGGTTTCTTCGAGTTCGAAGTCCTTGGTGACGTCAACGAGCTTCTTGTCTTCAAATTCCTTGAGTTGAGTCATGGCGTATTCGTCAATGGGGTCAACGAGGAAGAGAACTTCGAAGTTCTTGGCCTTGAGGGCGTCCAAGAAAGGCGACAGTTCGACAGCCTTGATCGATTCACCAGTGATGTAGTAAATGTTCTTTTGGTGGGGTTGCATTCTGGTGACGTAGTCGGACAACGAGGTCATTTCTTCGGTCGACTTGGTCGAGTAGTATCTCAACAACTTCGACAAAGCGGCACGGTTTTGAGCGTCTTCGTGGATACCCAACTTGATGTTCTTGGAGAAGGCGGTGTAGAACTTGTCGAATTGTTCTTGGTCTTCAGCAATTTCGTTGAAGGTTTCGATCAACTTCTTGACGATGTTCTTCTTGATCACCTTCAAGATCTTGTTTTGTTGCAACATTTCTCTCGAAAGGTTCAAGGGCAAGTCTTCGGAGTCAACGACACCCTTGATGAAGCCGAGCCATTCGGGGATGAGTTCTTCGGCTTCGTCGGTGATGAACACACGTCTGACGTACAACTTGATGTTGTTCTTCTTCTTCTTCGATTCGAAAGCGTCGAAGGGAGCTCTCTTGGGCACGAACAAGATGGCGCGGAATTCCAATTGACCTTCAACCGAGAAGTGCTTGACGGCCAAGGGGTCTTCCCAGTCGTTGGAGATCGACTTGTAGAAGGCGTTGTATTCTTCTTGGGTGACGTCCGAAGGGTTTCTGGTCCACAAGGGCTTGGTCTTGTTCAACTCTTCGGTTTCAGTGACCTTTTCCTTGATCATCTTCTTTTCCTTCTTGTCTTCTTCTTCGTCGTCCTTCACTTCTTCGAGCTTAGGCTTCTTGTCGTCGTCTTCCTTGACTTCTTCTTCTTCTTCGGGAGCTTCCTTTTCGACTTCCTTGGTGACGACCAATTGGATGGGGTACGACACGAATTCGGAGTGCTTCTTGACGACTTCCTTAATTCTCTTTTCTTCCAAGTATTCGAGTTGGTCGTCCTTCAAGAACAATCTGAGGATGGTACCGCGGCCCAAGCGTTCGTTGACTTCGTCGAGGGTGACGGTGAACTTACCACCGGCGTTGGATTCCCAAATGTATTGTTCGTCGTCGTTGTGCTTCGAGATGACTTGGACGTGGTCGGCGACGAGGAAAAGCGAGTAGAAACCGACACCGAATTGACCGATCATCGACACGTCGGCACCGGCGGACAAGGCTTCCATGAACGACTTGGTACCCGACTTAGCGATGGTACCCAAGTTGTTGACCAAGTCAGCCTTGGTCATACCGATACCCGAGTCTCTGATTTCGAGAACCTTTTGCTCGGGCTTGGGGGTGATGCGGATGAACAATTCGGGTTCCGATTCCAACTTCAGGGGGTCGGCAAGAGCTTCGTAACGGATCTTGTCCAAAGCATCCGAAGCGTTGGAAATCAATTCCCGCAAGAAGATCTCCTTGTTGGAGTAGACGGTGTTGATGATCAACAGCATCAACTGAGAGATCTCAGCGGTGAATTCATGGGTTTCAACCTTTTCAGACATGATGAAATGAGTTCAGTGGAGAGAGGCAAATCGGTGCGCGGTGTGCTAGTTTATATACTCCGTAGGGCGGCGGTTGAAAATTTCCAGTGGAAAAGTTCGATCGAGTTCCATCAATGCAAGACACAGGGGGCGAACAGCAACGTAAGCGAAACCGCGAAAACGGGTTTTATTGAAGTTATACTAGGTTTAGAGGTGGTTTAAGGTGTCGTTTATGGGGTCAATGGTTAAATTGCTCTAGTGGTTAGGTTACCGGGGGTTCCGGTAGGTCGCATTGTCGGAGTGAAAAACGAGGTGGCAGGTGGTTTTGCGTGGAACACCGTAGAATGTTTTGGTGGCATGCGAAGTGGGGCGAGTGACGAGCGAAGGTGGGGGAAGGCAAAGGAAGCTAGGGGAAACTTCGAGAATGGGGAGGGCGTTGAAGGGGGTATTAGAAGAACATTAGAGACGGTTCTAGAGGGAAAACGACGGGAGTTTAAGGGGAAGCAACCGTATTTGGCGGTGGTCGACAACTGCGGCTTGTGGTGTGCGCATGATCTCTACCCATAGCACCATCGCAGTTGATGGCTTAGTCACGACGTCACACAAGCTTAGTCAACACAAGATTTACAAACTAGCAAACCTTATTGACGATTAGGACATCATCTCATTTCATACATGAAAGTTGCCCCTGATACGCCTCAAAACCATGACTACGGTGTATGTTTATGATGGTGGTGTTTCTGTTGAATTCTACTACTTTGTTTTAGACTTTTCCATGGATTTCTGTGCTTATTTGGTGAGCACGGCTGTAGTGTGAGAAACGTCAGCTACAGATGGAACTTTCGTCTAAATCACTCATTAGCACAGTATACAGTGAAAACAAGAATGAAACTGGGAATGGTATGTGTTTGGCCATCTCCTGGATGACAAGGGTACGACAAAACCTGGCTGTGAATTGCCATTTGTGTCTGTTTAGTCACCTCCCAAGCGGTGGCCCTTGCCTTGGAAGCCCAGAGAATACGACGTGTACAGCTCCGTGCGCGGTTTGGCCGGCTCGTACCCTCTGCGGGTGGCGGGCGGCTGGTAGAATGCGGTGCGGCGAACGCTGCCTCCCATAGGGTAGTTGAGCCATTTGTACAAGAAGCGGGGCGCCTTGAGGTAACCCTTATCGTAGATGGAGTCGCTGATGGTGGGGAAGAGCTCGCCCGACGTCGACCCGACGCGTTGGGCGGCCGCTTGAGACCGTTGGCCGTAGCTCAGGGGCAAGAGGTTGTATAACGGCATCGTTTGCAGTTGGATGCAGAGGTAGATGTAGCCGCCAAAGATGCCGATGAGCGAGTTGAGCACCGCCAGCTTGCCCCCAAGCATGCGGAAGAAAACTTCGAACCACGGCATGTAGTACGCCTTGATGGGGACGAGCCCGAAGAAGTTGACGGTGCTGTTCTTGGCCCATCTCAGCCAGATGTAGGTGATGCACGAAAACATCATCACGTGGTGCATCGGCAAGAACGTGTACATCGTTTCGAGGGAAAACGACGTGAGGACAATGATGGTGCCCAGAAGCAACGTGAACCACAAGCAGTCGGGGAAGTTGCCCTTGAACTTGCCCTGGGCGCTCTCGACATGGGTGGCAAAGTTGTAGAAGAAGTACAAGTCCAGCACCGTCAGCACGGCGCTCTGGTTGATCACGCCGGCGGGGAGCATGAACGCGGTGAAGCAGCGATAGCCCTGGAGCAAGAACTTGACCACGGCGTAGCCCACCGCCGTCCAGCTCTTCCCGTACTTCCACGCCAGGATGATGTGTTGGAAAGGGAGCTCAAAGTGGTACATCAGACACATGATTAACGACGGCTCGAGCATGTTGAGCCCGACGAGGCCACACACCAACACGCTGCAGATGGTGAAGAAGCGAGTCACTGGGGGGATGCGGGCGATGGTCCGTCTCAACTCCTCGGCTTGCATGGCGGGTTGGTGGGTATGAGTCTGATGCTTGGGTGGCTTTTTCCTGTGGACGCGAATTTCACGGTATTAATACTTGGCGAGTGAGTGGCGAATGACAAGCGAAATGTGGTCGTGAAACTAGTCAGGTTTAGAGAGAGGAAACGTAATTTTGACCTTTTGTTTGTATTACATTGACCATGACCACATCAATATATATAAATAATATTTCTTGCTCGGTTAATTTAGCGAGGTAAATAGCCTCATCTTAATTGTACTGTTACTTCGATAATTCCGCATTATGTGAAAAATGGGGTCGTTAATTACCAGACTCCGAGTAATGCGCAAATAAATAGAAATGAGACACAAAGACAACATAAAATAAGAGAGTCTACAAGCTGTATGATCAAACAGTCATCTCAGTATGATTAAAGAACATTGTACTACCCTAGGAAGGGCCAAAAAAGAGTGGTCCCTAGCGGGATCGAACCGCTGATCTTGGCGTTATTAGCACCACGCCTTAACCAACTGGGCCAAGGGACCTCGCACGTTTTTTTTTTAATAACATAACATGGGCATTAACAATATCTAAGTGGAAAACTTTCATACACATTCCCTTGAGTTCCTCAAGTAGTTCTATACTCCAGAAAAAACCAGTATAGATATCTGCCAGTTCAACAAGATAGCTTATATGTACCATCCACTTTGAA